TACTTTTTTCTTAAAAATAATTTCAATTGGGTATATTTGTTCTCTCTGATCGATTTGATATTTTCAAAAAAATATTCATCCCCTAACCTGAGGGGGTTACACAGAAATGCCCAATCCTCGAGTGATTATTTGGTTTTCTAACTCTGACAGAACCTCTGATGGAACAACCATAAACATCACCCCCTCGGGTTAGAGATTTCTCCGTCTCTCCCTCAAGGTAGAGGAAGATTATTTTTCACCTATTCTTTTACTTTCAGTTACAATTCCACCGACTGTAGTCTGACATGCATATACACTTAAGTACAGATGGTCATTGAATATCGCCGTTCACTTGTTATGGCATGACAAAAATCGTGCTATTCTGCATGAGGCTATTTCCAACTAGGGTCGACAATATTGTATTTCCTGGCTAAAAAAACGGCATTGAAAAGACTTAAAATGTAAACTCCTGGTCAGCGAAAAAACGAGAGGATTTCCCAATTAGGATGCATATGTAATCAATGAACTTACGTTACGTTAATAATGGCACACCACAGAAAATATTTGTAACTCATTGGATTAGCTGGAAAGCCATATACAACTACATGTAACACCTGTGTTTCATGCAACCGCAATATCTATTTTAGGTGGGAGCAAAAATATCATTCCACACTTTTGAAAGTAAAAAATAACATGCTTATTCTTAAGAGTTTTAATCTCACAATTTATTATCAAATTCATATTACGACGACTTTTTACAATAAAGTTTAAAAGACATTTCGATGAAATTCTCTCTGCCAGTATCTATGTCATTTATGAAAGTTAAGAGACTTACGTGTGGAGCTTTTATTATCTTAAAGCCTCTTAAGAAGTTGCATATAAAAACTTTCTTAGAATAACTTATTTACCATTGTCCGTCACATTACGTAGCAGGATTAGTATAATTGCCTACCTGGTGGACACTGACCACAGGTTATTCGTACCTAAAATGCGTGACACCTATCATTCAAATCTCATATATATACAAGTATTGTAAGTATAAACTATAATTTTCATGTCTTGTAAATCAGGTTTATAACTGTGCACGGAACAGATAATTCAGAATATTCCGTCGTCATGTCAAAAGTTATCGCATTAAGTTTCATAGTTAACATAAAAAAATCTTACGTCATTATTTCAACTACACGAAACATTAGGAAAATTCGCATAATATATGAAAGGAATATCAAAACGTCAACAAATTCATAACGTGATATATTGAGCTCGTGTACATCAACACCTTGCGGAGGTAAGGGTGATTAGATGTTAACCAAATTGAGTGAACAACACAATACTGTGTTCTGGCGGAAAAACAGGAATGACAAACTTACCTGTTTAAGAACCATAAAGCAAAACAGCTACTGGTTCTTATCTCCACTGTACTTGACTTCTTCTTGTAAACATCAAAAGAAATCGATCCGATATTGAATGTATCCCCCATCCATTACTTTGATAGAATAATGTGAAATAGGAACACTTTACAAACTTTTGGTAACCTGTGCGAACGGATTAGTAACTCGTGCGCACGGTTTGTTAATTCGTGCGCACGGTTTGGTAATCCGTGTGCACGGTTTGTTAATCCATGTGCACGGTTTGTCAATCCGTGTGCACGGTTTGGTAATCCGTGCGCAAGGTTTAATAATCCGTGTGCACGGTTTGGTAATCCGTGTGCACGGTTTGTTAATCCATGTGCACGGTTTGTTAATCCGTGCGCACGGTTTGGTAATCCGTGCGCACGGTTTCGTAATCCGTGCGCACGGTTTGTCAATCCGTGTGCACGGTTTGGTAATCCGTGTGCACGGTTTGTTAATCCGTGTGCACGGTTTATTAATCTGTGCCCACGGTTTGGTAGTCCGTGCGCACGGTTTAGTAATCCGTGCGCACGGTTTGTCAATCCGTGTGCACGGTTTGTTAATCCGTGTGCACGGTTTAATAATCCGTGTGCACGGTTTGGTAATCCGTGTGCACGGTTTGGTAATCTGTGCGCACGGTTTAGTAAATGTTTTACCATGTCCCTTCGGGGGCTCCGTACAATCGAGAACAGAACATAAACAAAAAATTTAAATCAATAATTCCCGAAAAAAAATTCATATATACGAGAACAGAGAACATGTATACTTTCAAGTCAAGGGTTTTCATATTTTACCTTGTCCGACATGTTTAGGTAAGTCATGTATCGACACTGCAAACGACACTCTTTACCTTTCCGTTAAAGTAACGGCAGTATATTTCAGTGAGGTAGCACTATAAAGTCGGCATCAGTTTGATAGCAAGGAGACAAACACTAACATATCGCAGCCTCCCAAAACACACACGCATACACTACACGTATGCATCTTGCACACATGGGAGGCCGTCCTTAAATGATCATAGCTGTTGATAGGACGTTAAACAATACCAAATCAAACCAAACCAAACTGAAGGTGTGGTTAATATCCGGTCTTTCTAACATTACCACGTATTCACCTCAACAAGGGTCCATAAATGATAAATACTGGTAAAATGTTATAAAGACATATATCGTGTGTTTAGTTCTAGGTTATTTATGGATCTTACCAAGGTATATATATAACGTATAGACACTGATAAAGAAGGTGCAGTATTCTTAAGATAGCCTCCACTTATCGGAAAGGTCATGAACTCGATCCAGTCATCAGAAACAAAAAGCATTGTTAGGTTGACGAATCATTTTCCAAAATATTCAACCGGATTTGTAAAACCAAAATGCTCTATTTAGCCAGCATGACTTGACTCAATATTTTGATTCAATAGGGATGGAAAAAAATGATATGTAAATTGAAACTTTGTCCTTAAATATTGACAAAATGAAAAGCGTCCCGCAACTTATCTTGTTTAAAATCAAACCACGACACTTAAAACTGCTGGTTTGTAAAAAGTCTGGTTTGATTGAAAGTTGTTTTCTATTTCTAAAGTATTTCCCAAAATCAACATCTTAATATTTGTACGTATTTGTTGTTATTCCTGTGTTTAGATCATGCATTTTATTTTATTTACAAATACATGTAACGTAATTAAGACATGGATTTCAATACTTTAAAAAAAGAATGCAATTATATAAGTTCAATGCTGGTTAAGATAACAAGGCTTTGACAAACCGGACACTGATACGTTTATATATAGTAAGCATGGTCAGCTTAATGTTTCAATTTTTAACAATCTTTTTTGTTTCTGAATTTTAACAGATTTTGATCGAAGTTGATATCATGTGTTTCAATATAAAAAGCATTTATTGAACGCAATTGATTTTTCTGCAGAATCATTGAAATACGAGGTTCTATGAACTTTTATGAAGTTTAGTTATAATGATGTAAGATGACGATATCTTGAACGAAAGGTCACTGAGGGTCAAGATTTGAAGTGTTTAAAGTGGAGAATACCATATTTCAGACGCAGCTGTGCAAAGTATTGCATAATGAATTCCTGGGCATGGTTTGTTGTAGCGGTTTTCCACTTACATCAATTACATTGTGTGGATAGTAAGTATACTGTATGAACATGCTAGAACTAACGAAACAATCCTTATCAATTATAACTTGTACGCCATGCATACGTCGCTTTTGTTCCCCTGATAACTTATCCATTGTGTAAACATTGGCCATTCACATAGGAAATTTACTATTAGTGGACAGGTACTTTAGAAATTAATTGTGCAAAATGGTATACACAAAATATCACAAAACCATACATTCGCACTTTCATATATATACAATCAGGAAATATTTGGTTACTTATTTCAATAAAGGATCAGCGTACTATTGTCAAAATCTGTAACAAAGTAATAAACATTTGCATGGCATAACTTTTATTGCGGGACTTTTATGAGAAATAATAAAGATGACATGAACAAAATATGTTACTGAAAAATAATAGTGTTTTCGGTGTAGAAATTCATTGGGACTAGACGGGGATTTGTATACTATCGCTCCAACTGATTGAACTACCTTGTAATCGGAAGTGGCCTGTCCCCACTGTTCTACAGTTACATCAAAACGGAAGTTAAGGGGAGGTAACTGTATATAGGAAAACACAGTGCAGTGGGATAAGGGTCCTTAAGACTTTATCCCACCCTTCACAGATGTGTCTGCCGTTTTAGCCGTTAGAGATCAGATTGTCACCCCTAAGGGGAGATAGCACGTGTTTAATTGTGACGTCATTAAAATGTGTAATCAAAAGTGAATGACGATAACGGATGATTAAGGTGGAACCCTACAACATCAGAAGTTTTCGTATGTGTCTCCTAATGAAGGGATGTTAAAGAAAAACAAAAACATATTTCCCAAGATACCAGTATTTGTATGATCCTTCATTTAACCTCAGTTATAGGCCTGTAGTATTGGCTATGGCGAAATTTTGTTCGTTTTGTTACAGATCGTTGCGTGTGACACAATAAAACAACAGGAACATTTTATTCGAAATCTAGATTGACAAAAAATATGGCAAGATTTGCAAAGAGATTGTTGTAAACATAACAAAAGAAAAAAACCCGAGAGGTTTCGAAAGGGTAAGCGTATTCTGCCTCTTTGATGAGACATGGCATGTAAAATCTAGGTCAGATCAAAGAACTACAAGGTCCTTGTTATGTAGACGTGCCAATTGCATGGTGAAAACTACAGTAATAGATTTAAGATATCCATAAAAAACAAACGGCCTTAGTAGACTTTGAAAGCAACCGAATACATATTACTATGTTGCATTTACTAGTCTATGGAATAGTTGTGTATTCCACTTTACACAATGTCACGTCCTCGTTGCGAGAACAGGGGCAATGACAACAAGACGCAACGGAGCATCCTTAAAAACGTTGATATTTACCTCATACAATATAATATAATTTTCTTACTTAGAGATCATGTTGATGCCATAGACGGGTTCTGTTACTCTTCGTTAATACAGGTTTCGTGTTCAGCTCTTCCTCGGCTACAACAGACAGTTGTTCAAAGCTGATCTTCACTTGTCCACCAATGTGCTTTGTGCGCAGCTCCACCGGATGTACGTGTGATTGCAACAAGCCAGCCTATCCGATGTCGAATCCAAACTTTGACCCATCCAATCCCGGCAGTCCCGTGGTACAGCCTAGTAACAACTCCGCCAACCCATTCGGACGTTAGTGACACACAATGACATATTTACGTTTGCTCTGCATCCTTCCATTGCAAAACATTGAGAATGCAAATGTTTTTTTATGAGACTATAACAACATTTGCTATCGTAAAGTCATCAATCTCTTTTGTGACGTCATCAATGTCATTGTTGTCGTCACTTAATTTGTTGTTCAAAGAACTGTTCGAAATAACTAAATAAAGCCAAACTACTTCATCAAAATGTAATTATGAATAATAAATATTTAAGCAAATATTGTTATGGTCCTACAATACACATTTCTATTGCTGACAAAGTTACATAAAGCTCTGCCCTATCAGGCGTTATTAAGTTTGTCATCAATAGCAATGTGCGCTATAGGAGCATAACAACATTTGCATAAACATGCTTAAATAACATATAGAAATCGACGTTAAACTAAAGCTACGTCATTTTCACATTATAAAGAGTTTTGGCGATATATCGAAGTAAATGTTTGATGAGGAAATACAAATGGGACCTCAAAATACGTTTACAGTAAGACAGTTGGCAAAAGAAACGAGGGGCATTAGTTCATAGTTCTACATGTTCTGTGTTGTTGCAAGTGGTATGCATTTGAAAACCCCCAATTGTTTTCTTCTAGAATCATATCATCATATCTTGAATACAAATATGTTAGTTTTGACACTAGAATTGGTAATTATCGATAAATACATTCATTTAAGATTTGTTGTTCACGAACGAACGAACAAAGAAGCAATATTGATGAAGAATTAATTTGTTTCGTTTGTCCTTTTTTTCTAACAATTTAATACAACGCTGTTCCCTATTGAATCTGAATAATCTATGTCACGACTTTTTTCTTAACGGGCATATAACATATAATTAATATGAAATAGTTAATAACGTTCTTTAAAAAAGACCAATGCCCTTCGTTTCATTTTCAAACATACTGTTCGTCAACTGTTCGTCAACATTAAAGTCGCTTTTAGCTTTTCTTTGTCACCAGTTTCTAACATCTTTTCTCGATATATCACCAAATGAACCCTTTTATAATGCCAATTAATATGGGCAGTGTAACGAGGTTTCCCGTGTTCGCTTTACTTCATCTTCTTTATTTGAGTTGCTTCTTTGTTATTTATTTTCTATTTCGGCCGGTAAAATTAATGTCTGCGATAAGCCAAAATCTTGTACATAGATTTATTCCACATATCAGATTAATTCTGATAAACTGTATAAAAATTCAACGTTTCAAGAACACAGACAGGTATACCAATTGCTGAAATAAAAGAATGTATTATCATATCTTCCATACTGGATACTTATTTTGGCAATGTCTTTGAAAAGGTACATCTTTAGAAAAGAAATGAATGCTTGACTCTTTTCTATACATTGACAAAAACATAAGTGAGCGAGGATAAACGGTAAATAGCTTTCACTTAATCGAACCGATTCGTAATCTATTGATAATTGGCGATAATTGTTGTATTAACTAGCAAATATTCCCGGGTATCAACCCTGTAGCGATGACTGGATGAGATGTCAGAATCCCTGTGCTTCGTCAATCGACTCCAGGACTGGCTGTCCCTACTGTCAATGTCGTAAGTAACTAATAATAATACATAAAAACATTTATATAGTGCCCTATACAATTTGTGAAATTACTCTCAAGCGCTTTACACCATATGTATAATAGTATTAGGTATAATTGATAAACAAAAAGGTATAAAATCACCAATATACATCAAGTAAGAAGAAAATCATCTCAATATTCATAAACATGAATAAATAAAGGTTGATGTGTACAGGACGTCTGTGCAAAGAGCCTGAAATGCAGACAGTGAGAGATGGGTCTTTATATCCTTCTTGAATTTGGCCTGGTTCTTTGACTTTCTAATAGCAGATGGTAAGCTGTTCCACAACGTGGCCGAAACCTTCTCAAAGACTAACATTTCATGAAAGCATTGCTACCATACTATAGGTAGATTCCGTTGTCTTTAACATCATTAAGGATTCCTGTTTCAATGCAGGCAAAACATTCCAGAATTCAACAGTTTTTTCATGCATAATGCGATCTACTCTTTATTTCGTTTCTCTTATATAACGACATTATAGTACTGGTCAGTCAAACTACCGCTGACCAAGTTGATCGGTCTTGTTAAAGCGACCGTATTTTGAAAAGAGGTCAAGAGTTCAGCTCATGGGTCCGTATTCATGAAACCGTTTTCATGATCAAACACAGATTCTGTGCTCAAACCAGATTGTTTTGTAACTTGCTTAAATCATGTCAAACGAACGAACATAAAGTCATTTGTTAACATTGGAAATAGTCTTCGGCTTTGTCTCTATAAGGGTTTTCCAAATAATTGACAATATAGGATTGTGTTCATTAATTTACAACAGGAACAAGAAATTTGGCTAGAACACAAAATTCATGGTTGAGCATGAGAACGGTTTTTATGAACATAAACCCTGTTCTGACCTAGAGCCTTTTTTGATTATCAGACCTCTTTTGATGATTAGATTTGTATCTTTTTTATTTAATTCATACTTAATGTATTTGTCAAGAGTACGGGATCCTCAAGTTGTATTTGTGCGTATTTTTGGTTTTTATCCTTCAATCTTTTACTAACGAATTCGATCCGATTGAATATGAACTAAAATATGCAAACAATATTTAAAACGAAACAAAGTAGATACAATTCAAGTAGCTGTCAACCATGTATTTGTCAATTTCTAGTGTAATAGGTTTTAATGAGGAATCGCGTATTTCAAATGATTTCAAATGATCTTATTTTCGCTATTTTTACAATATCGTTCTCAAACTTGCGATGTTTCTTTTTTCAGCTCAATCACCGACACCAAGTTCTCCGACGACTTTATCAACTCCGACAACTCCGACAACTCCAACAACTCCAACAACTCCAACTCCAACTCCAACAACTCTGACAACTCTGACAACTCCAACTTTGTCAAATCCATCAACTCTGTCAACGACAACTTCAACTTTTCGGACAACTCCAGTTTCTCATACAACAATGAAACCAGCTATAATAATGTCAACAAAAACTCCAACAACTCCAAAAGCAACAAGTCCGAATATCCCAAATTCTCCAACAACCAAGGCCCCTACAGCTTCCTCGGCATCGAAAGCAACTTCTAGTACACCGACGTCTCTTGCGCCACCAACAACAGCATATCCAACCAGTACTGCAAATCCTTCAGCAACTCAAACGCCTTCAACAGCTTCAACTACGCTAACAACTACAACAACTCCGGCAGCAACGATTAGTCTATCAGACACTTCAAAAATTCCAGCTGTTGCAACAACAATTACAAACAGTACTTCAATACGTACAACACATAGTATATTAACTAGTGCTACGCCGTCTTCCTCTTTGGGACCGGTCACAACTCCTAAGGTTATAATGTTTTCATATTCTTGAATTGATGTAACAGAAATTATTATTTTATTTTAGATGTTATGGTATTTATTCAATGTATCTGCAAAGTGTCGAATTATAGTTTACTATTCCTACATGTAAGCTTTACCGAATTAGCTAAATAGAAGCTCTCTGTAACCAAATGCCGTAGGAATAAGCTAGCATTTTAATGAACTCGTCCTGGGTTTTCCAAGGGGCATAGCGATTCTTGTGGAAGCATTTTGCCAATACTTCCCGTTTCGGTACGTGTGATCAAATGTACATTTGCAACAAAGGTCATGATTTCAATGACTTCGTAATAAGTCGAAGGTCGAAGCCGGATCATCTGGTTTACTAATCTTACANGGGGGACCTAGGACTCGAACCAGAAACCTCTGGGTTCATGGTCTGACGCTCTACCGAATGAGCTTAAGAGAAATCTTCCCTAGCCAAGTCCGTAGGGAGAGGCCAGTATTCTATCAAGATAACATTACAAGTTATTATATCTTTACTGTAAAGACAACAAACAGTATGCTAGCAAGGATGATCACATCGTGTTGATTAAGTGAATACTACGTTGATTTTGTTTTTGTCTCACGTCAAAATCATCCAGATAGACATTAATTGTCCATTGTCATTTTCGTTTACAGTACATTACATTTAAGGGCGTAAACGATTTCCAAAGACAAATATTTGTCTGGTTTTCCTTCTTTGATCATTTGTATATAAGTCTATAAATCATGATTAAAAGATGGAAAAATAATTCTTTCAGCTTGTACTTCCGGTCGTTCAGACAACACCTCATCCTCCTACGCATGCGCCATCAACAACGTTGACGCCCTCTACGACCATTGTGACGGTTGTGTGTCCGGGAATATTTTCTTGCATGACTGACTGTTTCACGGGGTACAAGTCAGACGCAAACGGTTGTCCTCTGTGTGAATGTGAACCATTACCAACAGGAATACCTTGTGCGTAAAAAAATATTACGTTATTATGTTAAAAATGTATATAAATCATTCGGAATAAGATTCATCAACTTTGTATGAATAATAAAGGCTAGGTTTGTTTTTAACAAAAACAGGAATTAAAAACGTATTTTGGGAACTTTCGAAAATGTCTGTTTCCTTTGTCAAGCAAAGAGTGAAAATGGCCGTCGTCTTGACTCTAAACCGCTGAAAACAACTCACTAAGCCACACTGGGCCGAATCAGTAAATTAAGTTGTCAAAAATCATAGAGACATTTTGCCTCCCATTGTCTTGGCTTGACAAAAGAAACAGACGTTTCCAAAAGCTCGCAAAATAAGTTTTTAATTTCTGTTTGTAGTCATAACAAAATTAGCCTTTATATAAATTCTATTTCACAGTTTGACGTGATGGACTATGTAAATAATGAAGACGTTTTCCTATGAAACGGTTCAATAGATAAACCGGGATTCAAATGTTTCAAAACGTAGTAAAATCACTCCGAAACGGCTTTTGTTTTTAAGCCATTTTTCGTACTCGCGTTATATATTTATCAATAATTCATTCACATAGATTGATTATTATCAATAGCATCCGCCATAACCTGTTTACATCCACAACCCAATAGGATTACAGTATAACGCCCTTTTTAAACACTATTAAATTCATTTTACTGTGACATTGGTGTTGACATTCTGGTATGTCATTATGGGTTGTTTACATCATTTGAGATATATTCTATCTTTCGTTGTAGGATCCTTGGGCAGATGTTTGAACTTCCAAATAAAATACTGGGAAAGATAAATTAATTTATCATTGTTTTACTGTAAAGGAGTATACATTACACCAAGGACACACAGGAATAAAAGTGACGTTTCCGTAAACAGAACTATTGTGATGCCAAATTCAAAACGTTTAAACTTATTTTGCCTTATTTAAAAAAAAAAGTGCTATGTGTTTATTGAAAAAATTCAATAAATAAAAATAACACCATTGAAACTTTAAAGGCGGTCAGAGAATGCATTCTCCGTAACTTGAAAAAAACGGATCTTGAAGAATTCGTGTCCACTTTTATATTTATTTATAAATTTTGATTTACTTGTGGAAACATAGCAAAATTTACAATGTTTATTGATATTTTAATACGAAATCAATAATTCAAGTTTAACAGAGATATGTACACAAGCGCTCACATAACATGCAATACAGACACACAAGAGATATTTTATTTGAGTTATCACCTTTGACCTTTTATTGAAAGTTGACACCTGCTAATTGATAAACCAGGTGTGCCACACGACATAGTTAAGAATTATCACCCAATCGTGAACTGTAATCGGTATCCGGATATGTTGTCCGAACTCCGTCCCGGTATTAGATTGATAACATCGCCTACACAGGACGCGTAGCTGTGAATATAACCTGCCGAACCAAAACCGGGAACGGGACGAACGATACAAAATATACTACATTGAATTAAAACAATACCAATATGTTAATTTGGATTCTAGCTCTAACCGTAACAAGCACAGGTAAGTTTCGTTTTATTATATATAAGTATATGATACAAGATAGATATATGGAGTCGAACCAACTAAAACAATGCGTTATTACTTTTATTACATGTAACAAAATAATATATCTGCATTTGTATAAAAACATAACTATGTAATTAGAATCTAAGACGTTTGAATTGCTACACAAATTCAAAATAAATCGGTGTTATGGTTTATTTTTGTTCAATATTAGAACAAAACACTTCGGACATACAGTACAACCAGTTAAAGAAATGTGCTGCTCTTCGCCTCCATTTATATACATTATTATCTTCATTCAAGTAATCAGTGGTTTGATATCATTCATATTCGTTTCGTTTATATTTTGTTTGATGCTTCGTTGTTTGGATCCTTTAAACGTTTTCACATTTTGAGATAGTGCCAGAAGAATATAAAAAATAATAATTTCTGGACTCAGTTTCAAATAATAAGTCTAAGGTCAGTCAACGTGTCTATTAATCATGCAAGCTATTCGACTTAAAGACATATATAGGTTATGAATACGCATGTTTATATTGACTGTGTACGTCGAGGCAAGGTAAAAACTGCGAACCATCGGATTTGAAAGTAGACCTATAATATATGTCAACAAAGAAACAGAGTGCTGATGTAGCATTATGTATAAATAAACTTTATTCATTTTATAACAATTATGAAACATTTTTTTCAACTTATATTAATCACTCTTGTTGGCCCGGATGTTAGCGCGCGGGGGTCTTAGCATGGGAGGAAACCGGAGTACCCGGAGAAAAACCAATACCTTTTTACGTCCGATCGGGGAGTCGAACCCCGGTCGTCTTGGTGTAAGACAAGTCCGCTATCCACTGCACCCCGACCACCCATTATGTTCAGTCGGGATGGCAGCGAAGCTACATGTACATGTATCTATGATATAAGTTATATTACTGGTTATATTCAGATTAAAACTTTATCTCCTGACATTTAATTTGGGAAATACAATGTGCGTTTGTCATTATTTGATGTATGTAATGATTAACAAAGAAACACGATATATATTTTTAATCGGTACCTTTATATAACGTAAATTATTGTTCAAGACAGGTTATTGATATTTTTTTCTAAAAATTTTCTTTTTGTTGGTATAAATAGTAGACAAGTTATGTATCGCAGCATGTAAGTTTTTATTTTTGACGTTTCGATGACAAGTGAAGTACGTACCCTGTCACCTTCATCAGAAATAAAAAGACATCCTATAGTAACGGCTTGAATTTAATCAACAATTACAGAGAGATCGTCGCTGTAGTATGAAGGTTTTGTGTGTACATAAATAAGCATAAGATACATTTATTGAATTAACAATATTTTTTTATATTATAATATGTTTCATAATATTATAGTATTTCATAAGTGCAACAATTATCCATGCAAAAATAAAGAAAATATTTTGCTTTTATAACTACAAGTTATAGATTGACGATATGTTAAGAGCGGTTCGTCTGCTGGATAACCAAACTACTCGGTAGTGAAGCGAACGTAAAACCTATCAATCAATCGATCAATCAAGTCAAGAGCGAATGAAAAAAAATGTGCAGAAAAAAAGGAATATAGGATTTGATTTAACGAGTGTTATTGGTGAGGTTTTTGTGTATTCAGATTCTAATTTTATACATATTTTGACATTTGTATGGGTGGACGCCAAGGTGCTGCCAACCGTCCCTCCCTTTTTCATTTAATGGTATTAATCATTGTAACTACAGAGGCTATGTCGATGGACATATATATAACATTACAAGTATAGCTTGTTTTTAGAAACTTTCTGTAAATGTTTAGCATAAATGTTAAAACATATTTATGAATGTATGTCGAAATCAATTAATTCGCACACAATGCTTAGAAACTCGTTGACAATCTGTCAGATGTATCGAGAAAATCTTGTGTATACAGTTCTTTTTTTATTAACGTTTTCCCCTTGCTAGCTGGATATTCCTTCTGTCCCCAACGAGTTAACTGTATTCCCGGATGTGTCAAGATAGACGAAAGAGGATGTAAAGAGTGCGCATGCGGGGAGCGTAAGTATATATACAAATCATGATTGTACTGCTCATTATTTGTTTCGGTTTTTTTTCAGTATTTGCTAATTATTATTTGATCAATAATTCGATAAATATAATTGCAGGAAATTATGTGTATGCGTATTCCATGAAATGCGAGAAGGCATTGTGTATATATATACATATGCTTACTTCTGCAAATATGTTTGAGCGGAGCTATGTTGCATGTATGTATGTGTATTTACTTATATATGCTTATATTCAATATGTACTTTTTGCGCCTATGGGTCATATGGCTCTTGGCTGATAAAGAATATGTGTCTGAAATATTCGGATCTTTTGCAAACCATCATATATCTTAAAGTGATGTATAATTAATTTTACTTTTAGATTTAGGGTAAATATACACTGTAAGCAAAATATTTTACCAAATGGAGGAACATTCCGATATTCAGGGCCAAAGTAAAGTTTTTACGACATCTGTTTCCGTCAAGCGATACAAAGCAATCTGAAACCATTCGGAAATTACCGTCATAGTTTGAATATAATGTAGCGTCCCGATTGGTCCCCGATTACTCTAACGATATGACGGATTAACCCGACAAGTTTTCTATTGGGGAACATTCACGTGAAAAACGTATTGGTGTTATTGGTTAAATGACAAACATTTCCGGTTGCCATTTTTATCTAAGTGTTGTACAAAAAAAATGTAAATATCGTGAAAGATAATTACTCTACTCTACGTATGTACAGAAGAGCGCATAGCGCCGTCATATTTGCGGTAAAGTCTTTGAATTGGATTAGGTGTGACATGGTTGCGCCTTTCGGCAAGCCATTTAACCAATGTGTCTCATTTACTCTTACCTATCATGGGGTTATAACATATTTTGGTATAGGAACATAAGAAAGTGGTAAGGCTCTGTAACATTTATATGCTGCATACGGCAATTCACATACAGACTTACCTCATACAAAAGTACAAGTTCACACAAATTGATATGTACCTAATGTACTATACAAATGTACATGTACATGTATAGAAAACGGGATCACGTGGTAAGATGTATACAAAGTATGTCTCTGTTATGTTACACTACTAGTCGGTAGTATTTGTACTACTGTAAAACGTTCATAAGATCGTGTCAATCAATATGATTCAAGCGCCTTTGTGACTCTGATGTCAATTAAGATGTCTCCGAAACACAGCAATCCAATCTATGATGCAATTGGCCTGCCCGATTATACCTTGAGATAATGTGTTTTGATAAATCCGCTACTACATATCCGTCATCCCTTGAATCGCCTTTAGTGAAATGTCCTTTAGATAAAGAGGGCGCTCCAGGTATAACATATAAACACACCGCTTGTTGTTGTCGAGGTTGGATATTTTCGCGATTGATTAGCTTTCTTATGTTACATTAGACAAATGTTATTTCAAACGAAATAATCCAATTTCGTTCCAAATTGAAAGTACATCGAAATAGGAAAAATAATCTTGCAAAAATTAGGTGTTTGAATGTCTATGCGATTTATATATATTTAGTGTAATGCATTCATTTCATACAATATTAAATTTCAGGGAGATGCAGATTAGGAGTTTGGTATTTTCGTCATTAAGTTAAAAAAATCCCATTGTTATTTCAGTGATGTTTCATCCGGGAGGATATTATGGAATGACCGGTAAGAAATTAATTTCTTAAAACACCGTACTGGAAAATAATTAAACCACTTTTAATTATCTACCTTTATAATCTTTTTTGGATATCCCCCTAATGGAACAACTTTCTCGTGATGTATCGTAAATACAATTTAAAAAAGGTTGTACTCAGCACCTTTCAAATTCTTTCATATAAACTGGTGGGTTCGAGTTATAGCGACAATGTATAGGAGGATTAGACGACTGTAGCTGTCGTGTGCTAAAACCAGCAAGTCAGAAGACAGGTAACACCGAAGTCTCTTGCCGCGTGAACACGACAACAGAGAATAGCCAGCATATAATTGTTTCGGCTTTACGCGACAACGGGGATGAGAGAACATAATATTGTGCTGCCTGTACAGACAATAACGGAGAGGAGACGGCAAATTAATTTGTCGCCTGAATAGACAATAACGGGGAAGAGACGGCAAATTATTTTGGCGTCTGTACACACTACAACGAAGTTGAGACGGCATATTATTCTGTCGACTGAACACAACAACAGTGAGGAGATAGCATATTATTTTGTCGTCTGAAAACGACAACGGGAATGAGTCGGCAAAATATTTGTCGCCTGTACACACTACGAAGGGGCTGAGACAACATATCATTTGCTGTCTGTACAGACAATAACGGGGTAGAGACGGCAACTTATTTTGCTGTATGTACAGACAATAACGGGGTAGAGACGGCAACTTTGTTTGCTGTCTGTACAGACAATAACGGGGAAGAGACGGCACATTATTTTGCTGTCTGTACATAACAAGGGGGAGGAGACGGCAAATTATTTTGTCGTCTGTACACAACAAGGGGGTGAGGGGGGATATCATTTCGTCGTCTGTTAACACTTAAGCGGGGATTAGACGTCATATTATTTTGTAGTCAAAACACTACAACGGGGATGAGACGGCATATACTTGTGTTGTCTGTCACGACAAAGGGGAAGAGACGGCATATTATTACGAATGATGAATGAAATTAGAGTTCTACGCCAGTTTATCCCTCCCTCTATATTTATAGTAAATCCCTCCTTATCGGGATGGAGGAACTGACCCCATGACCTTTCATGCGGCGGCGGGTTCGCATGAGTGATTTGTGGATATGGTTGACTGCCCCGCCGCCATCGCCGCCGCATGAAAGGTCATGGGATCAGTCCCTCATTCCTCACTGGTCCCTCACTGATCCATCCCGATAGGTAGGGATTTACTATAAATATAGAGGGAGGGATAAAGTGGTGTAGAACTCTCATTTCCTATTCATTAACCGAAAACGTAAATGTGGTGAATAGAATCTACAATAATGACTTGCAAACGGTCAGTTTAAAAAAATACTTGAGTACGTTTTAGGTCAATGTACATATAGATCTTATTATATATTTGTAGTTCCTGCCCTTTGTATGGCTTATGTGTTCAACTTATTCTTTAAAACTATAACATAGGAATGACCAGCGGGGGAGGAGGAGGAGGAGGAGGAGGAGGAGGTGGTTTTGGAGGATCATTTCCGAGTTTCCGACCTGGAACTTTAGCAGGAGGTAGTCCATTTGGATCTATACAAGTAAATATTACTTTATTTTCTATTTATTTTTTGCAGTATGGAATGCGTCATTGCAACTAATAAATTATCCTTATTGCATTTGATATCGCATCAGAGCCAATTCGTCATTTCGGAAATGAAATTTCCAAAAAAAAAACCAGTCAAGTGAATAGCTGGTCACATATTACATAAACGGGGCATATATACTTCCGGTGTAAAGATAAATCAGGAGAAAGCAAACCAAATAAGAGCATTAGATTTGGACGGAAAGAAACTGAAATTTCAAATCAGTTATGAAATGGATATCTACAAGACAAGTACCCTATAGTAAGTAATGGAATTGGGAACCGCACAGTGTTTTAGAGTACATTTCCGTCTACATATTGTCCATGTTTACCGGAAGTACATATGCCCCCTCTTCCCTGACATGCGTGTCTAAATTCAAGTCGAATCCGGAAACCGGAAATATGCCATCTTATCGTGTTTTAAGCGTATCTAAAACTTGGTCGAGAAAGAAAAAACCACACGTAAACTTGTCAATGTGTGTCGATGTACACTTTTTTCATTTTTCATTTTCTGTGAATGACATACTTCCTTCCCTAGGGAGCGAGTCACCAGGCAGCCAAGGAAAAGCCCTTAAAGGAGTGTACTGGGACCCTTCTTTGTATGACGACGTGTCGTGGACAATATTCACTAGGGGATGTGGGCAATAATGGTTGCCGTTCGTGCACGTGCCCGCATCAGGCTTCGTCACACACTTCGTCACATTCCACGTCACACACCACGTCACACACCGTCCAAACTGTGTCACATTCAACAGGTAATTAAAACGAATAAACGTCAACATTCAAAACTCGTGTAACTGGTGTTCTGTCGTGTTGAATTATTCAGCCAGTATGTTAATGCGGTGTGGCAATGGAACTGAGATATGACTTTTAGCAATATCGACTCAGAAAACAGACAAACGATCTTCGTTTTCACATTTATTGTATTGTATTGTATTGTCCAAGTACCTTAGCCTGTCGATGATATTGGCTTCGTTAATTCCCAATATAATCTAATGATCGCACAATTCTATAACCTTGCAAATATTGTTTCAGACACAAATTAACAATGAACATACGACTGTTGTTTATCATTTCGGTAATCTTTCACAACGACAATATGTTGACATTTCAACCATTACTGATTTTTAACGCGAGAAGGCAGGCTCGAATAGTGCACAACCCTGCTGTATTCCTTTGCGTTTAACAACGTGTTAATGCGGTGTCCCTTGCTTAATCTCTTTTTTGGCTTTATTTTTTTCTGTTTAAGGGACTTAAAAGAAATCTTTTCTTGCCCTTAAGTGATGTCAGCAATTTTGGACTCTTCAATTTTTTAAAGCACAAGACACAAATCCCTAAGCAGACGACACAGAAAATAACTCATAAATTTACAGGAGCTGCATTAGTCGCTTTTTAGACATACAGTTTGATACAGCAGATCCCGAACCTACACAGCCATGTTGTTTCATAGATGATGCATGAGTTGACTGTTGATGTTTCATGTTTATTTAGCGCACGTGCAGTACATACAGGCGACCCATCACTCGTCCTGTACCGGTACCAAACTATGTATGGCCACATGCCACACTCGATATTCACTGGGACCCAAAGGGCGTGACGGCTGCCAGTCTTGCTCTTGCATGCCAGGTATGAGTTATCTTTCCCTTAAGCGACCCTTAAGGATCCCCGTTCCACTGCAGGGAAACACTTGATAATTCGATTGTTATATATACTGCATATACAGTTACCTCCGTTTAATTTTGCATTATATATATCTGTAGCTAAAAAGGACCACATTATTACCGTTGATCAGGTAGCTTAGATTGTAAGAGCAACAGTATATTTATAAATTGTCCAGTGTTTATATATTTGTCAACGACAATTTTTTGTTATTATTTCATATAGTTCGATTCATTATTGTATTATTTAAATTTCGATTTTTTTTCAGAACCAACACCAGCACCGACTCCTGCGCCTACCATAACCTGCATGCAAACATACCTATGTATGCTTTCCTGTAAAACCGGATATACATTGGGAGAAACCGGAAGTGACGGATGCCAGACCTGCACATGCTTACCACGTAAGTGTCATTCAATATTTTCATACACGTATGAACGAAACGTATTGTATAAACATTGATGGACACGTAAACATCGCCCGAGAGACGTGAGAAAATGCAAAATTAAAGCATGAATATTAACTTAAGTGTACGCTTTTGTTTATTCACCAGCCCCTACAGCCGCGCCGGCTACCCCGGCCCCCAAACCATTACAGTGCGAACAGACCCTTAACTGTATGTTATCATGTACATCCGGGTACCAGCTTGGCAACACGAGGCCTGATGGTTGTCCGGTATGTAGCTGTATTCAAACAGTAGGTAAGTATTACAGTCTTCTTTACAAAAAACTTTTTTTTCCTGCCATTTTTTTTTATTCACGGCCAAGTAGCTCACACATCATATCCCTCATAACATTATATCATTAAAATTATGATACAGTTCTATTTTCTACAACAAAATTGGTAATGTTTATTTTTCAACGTTAAGTGTAGCAATTTTTAGGTAGACATTAAGTGTTACAAATTAAGGATCACTGTCTCACTGACGGTAATAAACTTGAAAATTTAACAGAAGCTTTTGGTAAAAACAATTACCTCCCCTAAAGGATCATTATTCACATTGCAATGTGGTTTTCCGTTTACACAGTAACCTCCCCTTTAACCTCCGTTTGTATATATAATTTTATCACAGCTTGGCCAGGCCATTTTTGTTGACCAAGTACATGTAGCTTGATTGGTTAGAGCGATAGTATATTGATAGGTCGTAGGTTAGAAGACTTGTCTGGCCACATCAAATTTTAAAACAACGAACCTATTTGTTTGTGTCTACTTTATAATTATTATTGTTTACAAGAAAATTTAGTTTTTTATAGATTATAAATTATAAATGACATAGTCATACCGGATATAATGCTTTTAATACATAATTACGATTCTTAGCAGTGACACGGGGAATCCGTATGTAAAATAATTTACATCTTAAATGTTCACAGTATATTTTTCATATGTGTATGCATCTGAAGGTGTCCACAAGATAAATGTTAGCGCAACAAAGAACAGCAAAAATTATATTATTTAGGTCACTTGATTATCACAGGCGTTTAAACGCCGATGTAGACACAAAAAAGGACTTTCATTAAATTTTACTTGGTAGAAAAAAATATACTTATGTTTGTATATCATGGTGGAATATATAGCGCAGCATTCGAAAATAAAATCGTAAAATAATCAACTCAGGCCCCAAGCGGCCATCGTTAATTATTTTTCCCCAACTTATTTTCACCCTAGTCTCATTCAACCTGACGCTTAATCACTTGAATTCGGCGTAGCTTGCGCAGACAATAAGAGTCTAGTTGAACGAAACTTATGTTCACCCTCGATATATTTCACAATAATACTTGCACAAACGTTGATTATGTCTAAATTTCAGCATTGCGTGACTTATTCGTTTATCGTTTAATTATCCAGTTTATTTTGTGGAGCTAATCTTTGGTGGTTCAACAATCTGGCCGAAATGATTAGTTTGTATAAGTTTTAGTGTTAGTCATAACGCTATTAATTTCGCAGTATCAGATGATTTTGTGTCGAACCGTGAAAAACAGAATGTTTGACCTGTTTCATATTTATATGATTGTAATATCAAATGAAATTTTGTTAGAATTGTCTCCCAAGATTTTTTTTTAATGTCCGTTTTTTTTATAGTAATACAAAATATACGATGCTAAGCGTTTTATTGTTTTGAATTTCCCGCCTTTCAGCCCAAGTGGTACAGGTGTTTGAAGTGAAATGTCCAGCGGAACTACACTGTGACGTATGTTGTAACGTTGGTTACAAGTGTGACAGTAACGGATGTCCAGTGTGCGAGTGTATCGCGCCGGCATGTAAGTAAACAACCATATAGCTAAATAAATACCAACCTTTCTCTTCAGGTTGGTAAGTATAAGTGATATACTGGTTCATATAACACAACCAGTGTAGTGTTTATGTGTGACGTTACGATTACTAGCATGATATGTAATTTTTAGATTGCTAATTATGGATTGTATAGATGTTTTTTTATAGCACATCCAGTGAAATGTTTCTGTATGACGTTTCGATGACAAGTAAATTATTTACACTGCCTCCTTTCATCATAATTCAACTCTTAAATTTATATACCCAGGTGTATGGATTGGGCAGAGGCTAATACAGCACAAAATGACAAAGTTGAACGAGTGACGTTTCGATGACTAGCATGATTATGTACTATTCACCTTCCTCAGGCAAATGATCAGTAAAAGTGTTTGTTCCTATCGGTGTTAAACTGTACGAGCTGGCAGTAAAATCACCGGCGATTCGGCTACGCGTATATTTGTATGTACACGAAGGTTTGTTTTTGATATCACATAAGGGATAATGTGGCATTTTTATACAACCCGGTCAATTGTGTCTTTTCAAGAAACTGTTTTATTCAAATTAATCACTCTTTCTCTGACGTCACGGTAAGTTAAAAACTTGCGTTACACTTTGTATTGACGCGGATTCTTACTGTTGCGCAGCCGTTGGATCGACAGCAGTCATGGTGATACAAAAACCGATGAAGTGTCCTGCCGCCTTTTCCTGTCATGCGCCGTGCCACGACGGGTACAAATGTGGGGAAGATGGCTGTCCAACATGTGAATGCCTCACAATTGTAACCGTGCAACAAGTCCTGACCCATCACGAAGGTAGGTATACGTCATCATATAGCATATGACGTCACACATACGTCATTTAAACAAATGACGTCACAGCATTATAATTATTTACATATAATGTCATATAAAAAGCTATCTGCGCACCAGTTAAACCTGTGCTACCTGTATTTTAACGTTGTTCTATCCCGGTGACGTCACAATAAGAGGGTATATAATTATGTTAAGGTACAAGTGACGTCACAATACATTTTTTTTTATCACGATTATTACTCTAGTATCAACAACATCAATACAAACATCAAAGAATCGATAGGATATTCAAACATGCACTACTAGTGGGCAAACCAGTGATTGTTTTGAGGATCCCCGTCCCACTACAAGCAAAACACTAGTGGTTCTTCGTTTATACAGTGAACCTCACCTTCATTTCGTTTTGATATAACGGTACTTTCGTTGACAAGGTAACTCAGTTGATAAACACGATATTATAACAATCTGAGGTCCAGAGTTCGAATCCCGGGCCCGTATGCATAAAACTGTCATCATGCTAAAGCCTGGATTTTGTGCTCAAGACGAATATCAGGTTCCCGTTATAAATTAATCAAAAAATCTTTATTTTATCAAAGATTTGGAAAAACATTGAAGAGAGTTACAAGAAAGTTGGTTTGAGCACGGAATCCGTGCTTGAGCAGGAGAAAGGTTTCATGAATACGGACCCTGGTCTAGTCCCGCTGAATGTTTACAATCTGAGTAATGATTTTGATTTAATATTAAGTTCCTTTTTTTTCAAATTATGGTTACCAGACATTTCTCGCAAGGCAGGGGTTTGTTTTCCTATATTGGGTTTTCACTTAGGATATAGTTATGTAAAAATGAATAGTTTTGTTAGAGGGATCCTTAAGTGTCAATTGTGGTAGCAGGCCAGTCGAACAAAATAGAGTGTTCTAGTTAATCTTTCTATAAAATGAGCTAAATAATAAATTATTTGAAAAGAAGAGCTTTTTTATATATGAACACAGAACATTGCGATAGTTGTCAAACGCAAACGAGCGGAGCTACAGGTCAGCAACTTGTGGTAGTAGCAAAACCCGTAACTGGCCAACAGACGTGTGACAATTGTGGAAATCATGAGACGGGTTCGATACACGCGGAAACAGGTTCAGCACATCAGACCCTGGTCTCACCGTCAACCAGCAACCAGGCAACGTGTCATGACTGCGAAACGCATGGAACTAACACAGTGACAGGACCAGGAAGTAACACACACACCTTGAACGTTGGACAACAGACAAGTAACCTAGGAGGGAGTTCATCACTTGGAGGATCACCAAGTGGTTCCAACGGTGGTTCACCTTTTGGTGGTTTGAGCAATGGGATATCTATTGGAAGTTCTAGCGGTGGTTCATCTTCCAGTTTACCGTTTGTTGGTTCGGGTGGTGGTTCGCCATTAAGTGGTACAAGCAGTGGTTCAACCTCGAGTGTTTCAGGCGGAAGTTTACCGTTTGTTGGTTCGGGTGGTGGTTCGCCATTAATAGGTTCAAACAGTGGTTCAACCTCGAGTGTTTCAAGCGGAGGTTTACCGTTTGTTGGTTCGGGTGGTGGGTCACCATTAATTGGTTTGAACAGTGGTTCAACCTCGAGTGTTTCAGGCGGAGGTTTACCGTTTGTTGGTTCGGGTGGTGGTTCGCCATTAATTGGTACAAGCAGTGGTTCAACCTCGAGTGTTTCAAGCGGAGGTTTACCGTTTGTTGGTTCGGGTGGTGGGTCACCATTAATTGGTTCGAACAGTGGTTCAACCTCGAGTGTTTCAGGCGGAGGTTTACCGTTTGTTGGTTCGGGTGGTGGTTCGCCATTAACTGGTACAAGCAGTGGTATGTCGTCGGGCGTTTCAAATGGAGGTTCGCCATTTGGTGTTGCAGCCGGTAGTTCACCGTTTGGTAGTTTGAACAGTGGTTTATCATCTAGTGTTTCAAGCGTTGGCTCGCCTTTTGGTGGTTCTAGTGTTAGCCAAAATGCTGGAGGGCATGAACCGATTAGCTCTGCAACAGCAACAGTAGTAGGAAATTTGTCTGGATCACAACTAGCTGCGGGAGGATCAGCTACTGCTACTGGCATAGGTGGTAATGGCGGGAGTCTGTCACAAACACAATCTACTGGGCAATCGCCATTTACAGCAGGCTCAGGAGGTAGTTCAGCAGGGGTTCCTTCCTTTCTGAATGGTTACGAATTCGGGGAATCTGTACAAACTGGTTCGGGTCCTAACGGCACCACATTTGTTCCACAATCTCAGATAGAAGGTTCTATCGGACAATCAAACCCCGGCCAGGGATCACAAAGCGGAAACGGAAATTGGTCAGGTGGGCCGTTCAATGCAGGTGGTGCAGGTCCTTTTGGTAACAACGGTGCTGGATTTCATTCGAGTACCTTTGCACAGGCTGTGACGGGCGGGTCAGGAGGCCAAGGACCATTTTCCGTAGCTGCTGGGAACAATAGCTCTGGTGCCGGACCATTTTCTAGCCTCTCGGGGGGAAGTGGCACACCTTTTGGCTCCACATCAGAATCTGGTGGTGCTGGAATTGGAAGTGGCGGCCCAGTATTAAACGGTTTTGGTGGTGGCCAAACGAGTGGCGGTTCAAATGGTGGTGGACCCTCTTTTGGAGGATCAATTGGAGGTCAAGCTTTCGGAGGATCTAGCGGAGGTCCAGCCTTCGGTGGATCTAGTGGAGATCAAGCCTTCGGTGGATCTGGTGGAGGTCCAGCTGTCGGTGGATCTAGTGGAGGTCCAGCCTTCGGTGGATCTAGCGGAGGTCAAGCCTTCAGTGGATCTGGTGGAGGTCCAGCTGTCGGTGGATCTAGTGGAGGTTCATCTTTTGGCGGATCTGGTGGAGGTCCACCTTTCGGCGGATCTGGTGGAGGTTCATCGGGTTTAGGATCAGTATTTGGAGGTCACAGTCTTATGGGCGGAGGATTTGGTGGACACGGAGGTAATACACAACAAGGATCGACAGACCCGGAAAACACAATTGATCATATTATAAAGAACTGTCCGGAAACCATGCACTGCATGACTACGTGTCCTTTGGGGTATTCTTTCGGTGACACAGAAAAGAACGGTTGCCCGGCTTGTTCATGTTTGACCGGATCTGGAGAAATAATGACAGGACTTCCTCATCAAAGCAACACAGGATCCGATGAACAGAAGGACGAACTTACAGAACAAACTACAGACTTGCAACAAGTGGCATCAACGAGGCTCAAACTACTACATAAGATTATATGTAAGTATTAGATTAATTTGATCTTCGACTTTTGTCTATTCTCATTGTTATCCTTCTACATATCTACGCAAAACACTTACATGGAATTGCATACATACAATTATTTAGTAATATATACGTAATGCGCAAATTAATAACACTACACTACAGTACATATGTACTGCTGTGTCCGTCTTGTTCTCCTCCGTGGTGCTTGGTGCTGAAATGGTGGAAATGAAAAGTTGGTCTAAACTAAAACTGAGTCGGAAATAACTTGTTAAAGTACGATCAGTGACGTCATAAAAGTGGTTTCCTTAACAAATGTTGCCATAGCTTCACAACACGTATTGCATCCTCCATACATTTCAATAAGAAGATGTCGAGGAATTGTAAATATGCCTTCGTTTTTGGACAAATATCCTTTACGCCGGATCCTTGGCAGTCGTTCCTGTTGACTTATATCAACTGTATCGCTCGATTGATCATAAATGAATTATACAAAATGCTACACTGTACACTATATATTCACAGCTGTGACGTCATGTCCCACACCATTTACGTGCCCGGTCACGTGCTCAATCGGGTACGCGAGAGGACCAAGTTATTGTCCGAGATGTGAATGCGTGGACGAGAAAGGTGACTTTCTTCAACAAAATATAAAGATCTTAACGATAACTCGACCTGCCATGTCTGTATATCACAGTAATGATACACACTGCTGAATTGTTTTATTGTAAAGTTTATGCAAGTCTGACCCGATCAATAATTTGCATATGCATGCATGATGCAGACTCCTTATGAAATGGCAATCTGGATACGTAATTTTTAACAGTAAGTAAGGAAAAGGGCAAATCAGTCACGGAGGTCGTCAATTGCAATTTCAATTGCTAAAAAATGAACATATATTCAACGCAATGGTGTAGGGCATTTTCCGAACGACTGTTTAGAAACCAATTTTTCCCGAAAAAATCGGTCTACGTTTTTTGTTTTTTGGATAGCTGGTTCCATGTGTAACGTCCCTCCATTTGGAATGCGAGACAGTATCAAGTATATAATAAAAGTCACTGCAACATCTTATCACATTGAAAATTCATTATTAAAACACAATTCATTAAAACTATTAAGAAATATCAGCTCATGAAATATTTATTAACTTTTTTATTTACTTCCTTACAGAGCATCCGCTATCAAAAACGGAAATCGTCTGCACAGGAACGTTTGCTTGTTCTAAAGGTTGTGACACTGGTTACAAGCGTGGATATGACGGTTGTCCTATCTGTGACTGTGTCCACGAGGAGGGTGCGTGTTTAACGCGCATGTGCTTTGATTTCTAGGTTCCGGAAGTTAAAATGAAGCTTTGATATAAAAGATGTTGTTTGCTTGCATACATATGTTGCCTTTGCTCTTCTGGCCTGCTACCGATAAATCTGTAATGGGTATCACAGTATATGAATTATGATTCTAGATATTTTAGGACTCTTTGTTGTATAGGGAATGTATGTTTTTGTCGATTTAATATAAAAATAAAAGTATATGAATACTTACCTGATAAAAAGGGAAGATATCCGAATGACAATGGTAAAAACACATAATAAATATTGGTGGAAACTAACTTGGTAGAGTATTGCATTGGTACAACAGTAACTATTGCAATATTGTAAATAAGTGCCGTATAAGAACATACTTAAAGAAGATGTGTTTTTGTATCAAATGATCATTCTTGTATGTCTATTTATAGTGAGGAATTCCTCTTTATCTATCAAACACTTATTGGATTAATTGAAGAGGAATACTATTTGCTAAAATGATAACAGCGTGTTTAAAAGCATTGGACATATTCAATAAAAGTATACAAAGATTGTCCTAAATGATGTGTCTTTTCGCCAGAATGCCATGAGTGTGAAAAACCTCATCCAACTCCAAAACCAGATCAAGCTGCAGTTATTGCGATTCTACAAAAGTGTCCACATACACAAGAATGCATGACGTCATGTAAAAACGGATACCACATGGGCAGCGCAGGTGTTGACGGATGTCCAGCGTGTTCATGCGTCGAAAAAGAAAGTAAGCTCTTTTGTGCGTTGAAAAGGTTAAGGCAAAATGAACGTTCGAGTATTCTATACAGATTTAATACCCAGAGATTTCACACGACAAGACCAGTATGTATCAACAATATCATTGATAAATGGGCAACTTCTGACTCATATGCAAATCTTAACGGTATTAAAAGACGTCCAGAAAATGGCCTCTTAACACAGGTGGTCTCTTTATATAGGTGGTCTCTTAACACAGATGGTCTCTTTAAAGAGTTGGTCTCTTAACACATATTGTCTATTTATAGAGGTGGTCTCTTAACACAGATGGTCTATTTATAGAGGTGGTCTCTTAACACATGTGGTATCTTTATAGAGGTGATCTCTTAACACAAATATTCTCTGTATAGAGGTGGTCTCTTAACACAGATGGTCTATTTATAGAGGTGGTCTCTTAACACATGTGGTATCTTTATAGAGGTGGTCTCTTAACACAGATGGTCTCTTTCTAGAGGTGATCTCTTAACACAAATATTCTCTGTATAGAGGTGGTATCTTAACACAGATAGTCTCTTTATAGATGTGGTCTCTTAACACAGGTGGTCTCTTTATAAAGGTGGTCTCTTAACACAGATGGTCTCTTTATAAAGGTGGTCTCTTAACACATGTGGTCTCTTTATAGAGGCTGTCGCATAAGCAGGTAAGACTTTACTCTCATTATTCTCACTTGCTGTAACGTATTCTCTATCGGAGTTAATTTTCTTCTTCATAACTATTCCAATGCTTTATATTTATATATTTGAAAAGCTCACCAGCATGCTCAATTGGAAGCTCCATAAACTTTGCTTCCGAAAAACACTTCTAGTTCTATTATATTTGCATTCATGTGCAGACACATTTTCCCGACATCTGCGTTTCGGTTAAAAATCCCACCGTCTGATAATCTATCTGGCTATTTACTGTCGTCTGCTTTACAAAGGTGGTGAAGGTCGACAGTTACCAATAATCATCATTTGGAGCAGTGCTTAGTTTTAAGTGATGATCTGAAAGTCTTTTCATATGAGCGGCGCGATCGATTTCGATCGCCTCTCATATTAAGGTGCATTCACATATCGTTTATTTAATTGATGTTATTACTTAATTTACGATACAAAATATTGTAAATTAACCATATAATCAAACTGATAGGTAAATCTCGAGTCTTTAAAACGTTTGAATAGAAGTGAAATACAGTGTATAATCAAAACCCCAAAATACACATTACGCGTTTCATGAAACCAACACATTTGATAATGGCTTCGAAATGCATTCAGACACCATTCTTTACTTAGATAATAAAACATTGATTAAGAGTGATAACAGATCTGTTTTGGTATTACAGCATGCCATGAGTGTACGGAGACTCACCATACAGTAGAGGTCGTACAGCCTGTCCAGGTACAAACATCGTCCACAGAACACTGTCACGAGTGTGAAACAGGTCAGTACATTGTATCTCCATTAGGGAATTGTGCTTTCAGTGAGATGTTATTTCAGTGAGGTTTCACTCTAAAGTCGGCAAGAGGTTAATACACCAATTATCCGCCTCCAGCGCAAACGCATACTTCACATAAATACACGCCGTTTAATGGCTTCAGCTATTAATAGGACACTAAACCTAGAACACCAAACTACTTCGCGCGACGCACGAATCGATGTTCTATGTAGTCGATTTAATTAAGGATTCCTTTCCAACTTCAGGCAAATCACTTGAGAATTTCACTGTAGGTATTCTTTAACGTAGAGTAACCTCCCCTTCACTTCTTTTCGATTTAAATGTAGCAATACTTGCCCGTTTATCTTCTGTTGACAAGATAGTCCAGTTGATAATCTGAGGTCTACAATTCCCATTCTGGTGTAATTCCGTTGTAATATTACAATCAGAGCACTGTTATTGATTGTTATCATTGTTTCAAGCACGAACCGTGTTGTTTACATTATTTTCCAGTACGGTTATTAGCTATGTAATCTTAACACGTTGAATGTATCGAGCTTTAAAATGTTTGCTTTTCGACTCTTTAAACTGATCGCAATGTGACCTGTTTTGCTGTCGATATTGGTTTAGATATACTATATCTATGAGGATATTTTCGAGCTAATTCACTCAACGCAGTTTCTACACAGATTGATTGATTGATTGATTGATAGGTTTTACGTCCGCTTCACTACCGAGTAGTTCGGTTATCCAGCAGACGTTTCTACACAGCGACAATTGCATTTTTTATAGTATATTAATTAAGAATGGAATAATTCAGCTATGTGAAAATAAATCCATTCTATTAGATACTCAAAATCCTTGTCCCCTGTCTATTGCAACATGAACATCACTTCTCTATAACAGGCGGCCACCAGACACAAGTGGCTGTGGCAACACAAGGTGGAAGTGGTGGCACTGCTTTCGGCGGCACTTCCTCCGGTGGCCATATGTCTGGAGGATCGGGTGGTCATTCGTCTAGTGGAACCAACGGGGGAAATTTCGGTTCAATGAGTGGTGCTGGAGGCATGTCTGCTGGGATTGGTGTCGGTGCCGGCGGAAGTGAGTAAAACCTTATTGCATTGATATTTTTATCAATAAATAAGGAATCTTGTTTCTAGTAGAGCTTTGTGATGTGATTTGTGTGGAACAATTCCGCTGAATACTGTGTTGCTGTGTTTGCAGGTCAGTGTCACCCTCTTCCTCCGGACTGCCATCCCTCCTGTATAGTTTACGATGTGGCACATTGCCGACAATGTCGTTGTAAGTAATTTGATGTTTTATATAACAGATACTTATAAAAAACGAATTGATAACAGAACCGTAATTTGCATTAAAAATCAATAAAACTAGTCCAAAAACAAAAACAAAAAAAACAAAAATATTATAAAGGAAAGATTTCTGGAGACCATTAGAAAAAGGTACACAGGGCCTGTATTCATGAAACCGTTCTCAGGTTCAAGCATGGTGGATTTTGTGCTCAAGCTTTATTTCTTGTTCCGGTCNGGGGAGTAACAAGAAAGCTAGTTTGAACACAGAATTCATGCTTGAGCTAGAGAACAGTTTCTCTGAAGACGGGCCCAGGTGCTCTGAAGGAGCCTTCTGCTTCTTTGGGGATACTCTCAATGTTTATCTAAGTCAAATTCAAGTAATTTCTTAAACAAAAAGATATAGCCGGGGTAGTTATAATAAAACACAAATGTACATGAGCTAACATAATAAGTCCCGTATTATGTCAGCATTAATGTCGGTCTACGAGTTACGAGTTCATGCTAAGGAATTCGGTAACATACATGAAGTGACATATTTTCACCTGTAATAATCATTGGTGTACATTTGTGCAGCGTATCATATTAGTCATAGAATATCAGAATATCACATCATTTATTTTGTGGTTTGCACTTTAAACAACTATACAAAAATGTTGTGGACACAATGTTTAGTTTTACGTGATTAATATTTTAAGTTATTTTGTGAAATTCTTATTTCGTGCGGGCATACAGGTATTCAAAACGAGAGCAAAACTCGCAAACTCGTGGCCGATTGAACCGACATTTCGTTTTAATCATTTTCTGTCGTCATTATGACTTTTTCAGTAAAAGATATAGAGATCATATGCTATTCACCATTTGATTGATGTGTCATTTACTATTTGTTTACATCATTTCAGGTCCAATGCATTGATGCTATTCCTGGCGCCTTGTTATTGTACTTTGCCCCAAACATTGCATGTACAATGTGTCTGTAGGATTAAATACATTTCCTTTATTCTTGTCACTTATCACATGTCTCTAAAATAAAGTATTCGAAATACCAAATCGTCTGATGTTCTGTATAACTCCAATCAAATGATATTCTGTGGGTTTTTGCAGTTACTTTATTGTTTGCTTGATTAAGCTTTGAGCGGAATTTAATGGAAATAGTCCAATACGCTTGTCTGTGTACGTTCTTTTTTTTCAAAATGCATCGTGGTAGACCCCGCGGATTGAGTTCATAGTCCCCGAAAATTGGTGTTACCTTGATAGCCACGGTAAACTGTTTTGATTAGGTGCAAGGTTCTTAATATACACATTTTACAAATTGTTGAATTTGAAATAAACCAGTACTCCTTTAAAATTTGAAGTAAACTAAATTGGATTAACTCAACTCCAATATGCAAATTAAATTTTCCTGCTTTTTGGCCCCTATCATAGACGGACCAAAACGGTTTATTTGGCTTTATGCCACTTCTCTGGAACTAAGAGATAGATATCAACCATTTTTGACTGGAAGCATCCCTAGGTGGTAAGGATTCAAAATTGTACAAATGGTGGGATTGACCACCCCAAGGGGCTGAGGGCGTGGCCAAAAGGGGGATGATGCAGTGTAATTGTTTTTTTAAACTGTATATATTACCAGATTTGTTAGGTACACTCACCTGTATATGTAACGTTTATTCTTAAAATTGTTAAAGCACCCACATATATACTTGAACGTTGATGTAGGCATGGTTCATCTGTTGATGAACTGCAATATTGATACTGCAAATTAGTTATATTTAGCGTGATATCCATTTTCGCCATTACAGTTCCCGCTTTCAGTAATGGTTGCTAATCACAATGGCACAAGAACAGTAATTCATAATTTATTTCCATATGTCCCAAAGGAGGAGTGCCAATTTGGGCCTTCTGGTGGCTATCACCGGTAAGTTTTATTTTTTTGTAGATACATACCTTGGGGTTATGCCATCATGTTTTGATATGAAATTAAGGTCAGCTTGTAGATCATTTCAAGATATGAGGGGGTAAAGTGGGGTACCAAAATCACAAATGAACGCTTTTTTTTACAAAATTATATGTTATTTTTTTTAAGTTTCTTCATCATTTTTGTGTACTGCGTAACACTAAAACAGCAAATATTAAAGATGGCCGAACAATGTAACACGTAGTTGACAAGTAGGTCACTCCGGACCAGCACTATTCGGCAATGATGAATTGGAGTTTAAAGACATCAAAAATTATAACTTTATAAGTAAGGTATAAGATAAGAAATAAAAGCTAGATGATTTTAAAAATAATTTATTTTGATACATATTTCTATAAATGTATGATACAATATCAGCACTTTAGTAAATTTCTGTTGTGCCACACTGTGTATTAAGATTTATTAGTTACATCAATTTGCAAATACAGTGCTAATTTATTACACATCTATTCCGTCTTTTCGTATCGCAGAGTTATCTGCTCTTGTAATAAGGTATTGATTGTTACGTCGTTTGTTTGTGAGATTAACGTCATCAATTTTTGAGAAAACGACGTAATTTTCTCACACAAACCAATGACGTAACAATCAATACCTGCTCACAAGAGAGGATAACTCTGCAATACGCAAGGACGGAATAATGTACAACCAGATGTTGTTTTGAATTTATATTCATAAGCAATCTTGTTCTCAATGTATTTTTTCCGGAATAGGCAGCGTACGAAAGACTACACTAAACGTGCAAATTGACTTTAGGTCACGGTAAGCACACTGATATACTGTATACTGGCAAAAAGTTTGCACAGTCAAACTTTCGCCCTTCGCCTGAGAAATCTAAACTCGCTCTTAGATAATTTCGCCTTTCACATTTAACTACTATGTAAATTATGTTGCTGACTGTTGTTTTATGAAGTGATAATTTCGCCCTCATTTCAGGGGGCATAAATCAATCTGCGGCGAAATATCCCCGATAAATAGTAGTTTAACATAACACTACTGTGAATCTTAGCCTTGACCAATTAATATTACTGTATGCCGGGACGTTTTCGCCAAGTCAAACATTCGCCCTTTAGCTGTGAAATCCAAATTCGTCCCGTGATAATTTCGCTTTTCCCATTTAATTGCTATGTCATTTTTGCTGCTGACTTATGTTCGCTGTAATGCTAAATTCGTCCTCATACCAGCGGGCGGAGCCAGGCAGAAATTAAACTGCAGCGAAATGTCCGGGTATACAGTAAACACGTGCAATTGACAATGGTCAGTCGGCGAATCGACACATATTTGTTTTGTTAAGGATCTCTGTACCAATTCCAAAACAGTAACTATGAATAGGAGACATTTTACCTTCAGCTGAATACTGTGAAACCAAATGTTTTCGTGGGACCCAAATTTCGTTGTTTCTCGAAACGCACCATTTCGTGGGAACAATAATTCGTGGATTACATGTACCAAATCATACGGAGAATGGCTTAATGTCACACTTGTAATTACTTGGTGGACTTACTAATTCATGGATGCAGATTACCCACAAAATAAACGAAATTAAAAACACCTACAAAAATAATGATTTCACAGTAAATAGTATCTTGCGGAAATTTCATAGAATAGTAACAACCAAGGACTTCCGAACACAATGCAGTCGCCCGTACAAATTGAGCTTCCTGACCATCGGTAGTTCCCAGGCCAAATTGTATGAAAAGCGGAATTAAGGGGAGACAACTTTATGCCGGAAAAAAAAATCAGTGGCACTCCTTTCAAATGTGACTGCAGTTAGCAATGCTATTCCAACATTGTGTGTTCTGTGTCGATGTTTTGTTGATGATTTTGAAGTTAAATTAAAATACTTCTTCCGTGTCGTGGGTCCTTACGATTTTTTTTCTCTGAACAATGGATTGATCATCATCTAAAAAAAAGAAAGAAGATAAGTTAGTAAAAATTTGATTAAGTTTACGTAAAGGGTTTTGCAACAAGAGGCCCAGGGGCCTTAATAGCTCACCTGGTATTTTATTTTTCAATTTAAAACCTGCTGAGTACCATTCAGGTTTATCAAAGGAGTACAAGTAACAAAGTTGCATCTTCCATTTATAAATATTCAATTCCCTTTGCCCAAAGATTCTCTAAAACAAGTTTGGTTAGGTTAAAATCCCTTCAACGGTACAGAAGGAGAAGGATCTTTAATGTTTTCCTCTATTTCCCCTAATGGGCCCCACTAATCTGCCCCAAAGAAGGGGAATCCACACACCTCAGTTTAAACAAAATTGATTCTTTTCTCCCTAAGCATGCTTCAGACTGCATTTGGTTTAAATCCCTTCACTTGTATAGTAGGAGAAAAAAAATCCTCTATTTCCCCTATTGGGCCCCGCTCCTATGCCGCCAGAAGGCCCACACCCTCCGTTTATACAAACTTGAGTCTCCTTTGTCCAAAGATGCTCTAGGACAAATTTGGTCAAAATCCTTCAATTGGTTGAGGAGAAGATTTTTAAAGATTTACCTATTTTCCCCTATTTGGCCCCGTCCCTCTGCCCCCAGGGGGACCATACCCTCCGTTCATACAAAACTGAGAACCCTTTGGCCAATGATGCTCCAGACCAAATTTGGTCAAAATCCCTTCATCGGTACAAAAGGAGAAGGATATTTGATGTTTTCCTCTATTTCCCCTAATGGGCCCCACCCATCTGCCCTTAGAAGGAGGCCCACACACCTCAGTTTATACAAAATTGATTCTTTTGTCCCTAATCATGCTTCAGACTGCATTTGGTTAAAATCCCTTCACTTGTATAGCAGGAGAAAAAAAATCCTCTATTTCCCCTATTGGGCNTCCGTTTATACAAAACTGAGAACCCTTTGGCCAATGATGCTCCTGACCAAGCTTCAGACTGCATTTGGTTTAAATCCCTTCACTTGTATAGTAGGAGAAAAAAAATCCTCTACTTCCCCTATTTGGCCCCGCCCCTCTGCCCCCAAAGAGGCCACACCCTCCGTTTATACAAACTTGAGTCTCCTTTGTCCAAAGATGCTCTAGGACAAATTTGGTCAAAATCCTTTTATTGGTTGAGAAGAAGAAGATTTTTAAAGATTTACCTATTTTCCCCCTATTTGGCCCCGCCCCTCTGCCCCCAGGGGGGTTATACCCTCCGTTTTTACAAAACTGAGAACCCTTTGGCCAATGATGCTCCTGACCAAATTTGGTCAAAATCCTCTGAGCCATTCAGGACCAGTAGCATTTTAAAGGAAAAAGTTGACGGACGCCGGACGACGGACGACGGACGACGGACGCTGCACCATGGGATAAGCTCACTTGGCCCTTCGGGCCAGGTGAGCTAATAAAACTGGTCCTCAGAGCGACATTTCCATTACTCAAACATAAGAGTGTATCATCGCATGATCCTGTATGATATTGAGTCTTAAGAAACAGCTTATATAAAATCATGTTGTAATTGAAATATATGCAGCTGTAGAGCATAACTATAGTCTTTTATCAAGTCGAAAATAAATAAAAACACTTTATTTGCCAAAAATATTTTGTGATAATTTAACATAATTTACAATTATTTTTTTAAATAATCTTGATATCAATGAAAAAAGTCTTATATAAGTTTGTTTGAGGTGTTTCGTCCTCTCAACAGCTAAGGCAAAATGGGGTCATGTTACCAGGGAGACATCGCCAGGAAAAAGAGTAGATAATACAGAATGGAAAAGGTAAAGATCCCACGTGATTCCATAGGGACAGCAAATCAAGTTTGTTGTATTGAATATCCCTTGAGTTGAATACATAGGCACCCCTCCCGCTCCCCCCACTCTTCTCGATTCAGCGATGATATCGCCTCTTACAACATGTAATTAAATAAAGCATGCCTATTTTCTCACCGAACCTGAATTGGTGTCGAATGTATTTATACAACAAATGCTTTCCTGGTATGAAATAACTTCGGTTACATCAATAAAAATATCAACAAATGGCATGCATGATATCGATCGATATGTACAGAGTTAATCGTTTCCCACTGCATGCTATAAACAGGGGCGACTAAATGAGGGTACCCTGCAGAACTGGATGATTCTGTAGTGTTTTCTGCAAAGGGGACTTTTGACAGAACCAAAACTGATAGGCTGCCTCATTGTAGCATTTGTGATTTCTTCTTTTTTCTCCTATTCTGGAGAATACGGTGTTCCTGGGGCATCCGTCTTCGATGTTTTCAGATGATGCAAGGACGTTTGACTCCAAACATATATCAACCGTTGTAGTCTAGGAGTTGGACGAATGGTTCGCCCGTTGTCAGTATAATGTGACCGGGTGTGGGGTGTCCTGCTGGGTGTCTTCGGCAGTATGTTTCAGTGAGGTAGCACTATAAAGTCGGCATCAGTTCTGCGCTATCACAAGAAGACAGACACGAACAGATCACAGCCTCCCAAAACACACACGCATACACTACACGCATGCATCTTGCAAACAAGGAGGGAGGGGTCGTTAAATGACCATAGCTGCTGATAGGACGTTAAGCAATACTAAACCAAACCAAACCAATCTTACCCTTGCATGAAACTTCTAGGATTTCCTGGAGGCATAAACCCTCGGTTTAGAGCAGGTCCAGGTCCACTGCCGAAATTTGGTTGGTTCGGTCCTGATGGAAATCCTTGGTTTGGCATGGCCATAGGCACTGGAACAACACGAACATTTACTTATAAGTAGATGCAATTTGTTAAACTCAATTTTAATAAATTCGTTATCACGTATAACTTAAGGATCCCCGAACCAACAATTTAAACTTGTATTGGTAACTGTTTTTTCCCGGTATAACCATAGCTTTCATAAGTCATAAATGAAAAGAAAGTCATAACTTGCGGAACTTTTATGAGAAATGATAAAAATAGGTAAAATACAATCAACAACAGTGTCCGAGTGTACCAAACCAGCGGGGCTAGACCGGGACAACAGTGTTCCGAGTGTACCAAACCAGCGGGGCTAGACCGGGACAACAGAGTTCCGAGTGTACCACACCAGAGGGGCTAGACCGGGACAACAGTGTTCCGAGGGTACCAAACCAGCGGGGCTAGACCGGGACAACAGTGTTCCGAGTGGACCAAACAAGCGGGACTAGACCGGGACAACAGTGTTCCGAGTGTACCAAACCAGCGGGGCTAGACCGGGACAACAGTGTTCCGAGTGTACCACACCAGCGGGGCTAGACCGGGATTCGAACCCTGGACTTTCGATTTCTATACCATCGCGCTATCCAAATGAGCTAAATGACCTGTCCTAACTGTGCTACAGTAATACAAACGAATGTTAAGGGGAGGTCACTATATATAGGAAATAATACAGTGCATAGGGACACCGATCCTTAATTGGACTTATAAGAATAAAATTATGTAGCATATTTTAAGCTAAAAAAATAAATCAACGTGCAATTTAGAAATTTAGAAATCCTTTTTTTTTATATATGTTTCGTTCTACTTCCTTGTTAATTAAAAAATCTGTAGTTTAGATCCATGTTGTCATTGCATATTAAATTGCTTATTATGCAATGGTTCGACAATAATATTCGACTCTCATGCACAAGCTCAGGAATGAAGTTTTTCTATATTTTTCCTTCATTATTGTGTCTTTTCATGTCACATCCGTCGTATATCCATATCCAACCACGTGACCACGTGACCGGAATCACGTGACCCGAAAAGACGTTTTGTGTGAATTCATAGGACATTAAGAAATAGTAAATAAATGGAGAAAAAAAATCTAAAAAATAAAAATTACATATCAAGTCAACGCCGCAATAGCTAGCAACTGTCTAGAATGACCATTTGTCTGCGCCCGTTACCTGTCTATAAGTATGTATTTTCTGTTTTTCCTATCAAGCCATATCTACATTCCGCTAGGCTATAAACAGACTTCAAGAGCACCTGTCTTTTGCTAACACCTGGACGTCTACCACCTGTGGTGTGTGTCACCTCACCAAAGTACCATTCTTCTATAACTATCACCTGTCTATAACTACCACCTGACTATAACAATCACTTGCTTATAACTACCATCTGAATAAAGCTATTACCTGTATATAACTACCACATACTTATAACTACCATCTGAATACAACTATTACCTGTATATAACTACCACATACTTATAACTACCATCTGAATACAACTATTACCTGTATATAACTACCACATACTTATAACTACCATCTGAATACAACTATTACCTGTATATAACTACCACATATTTATAACTACCATCTGAATACAACTATTACCTGTATATAACTACCACATACTTATAACTACCATCTGAATACAACTATTACCTGTATATAACTACCACATACTTATAACTACCATCTGAATACAACTATTACCTGTATATAACTACCACATACTTATAACTACCATCTGAATACAACTATTACCTGTATATAACTACCACATATTTATAACTACCATCTGAATACAACTATTACCTGTATATAACTACCACATACTTATAACTACCATCTGAATACAACTATTACCTGTATATAACTACCACATATTTATAACTACCATCTGAATACAACTATTACCTGTATATAACTACCACATACTTATAACTACCATCTGAATACAACTATTACCTGTATATAACTACCACATATTTATAACTACCATCTGAATACAACTATTACCTGTATATAACTACCACATACTTATAACTACCATCTGAATACAACTATTACCTGTATATAACTACCACATATTTATAACTACCATCTGAATACAACTATTACCTGTATATAACTACCACATACTTATAACTACCATCTGAATACAACTATTACCTGTATATAACTACCACATATTTATAACTACCATCTGAATACAACTATTACCTGTATATAACTACCACATACTTATAACTACCATCTGAATACAACTATTACCTGTATATAACTACCACATATTTATAACTACCATCTGAATACAACTATTACCTGTATATAACTACCACATACTTATAACTACCATCTGAATACAACTATTACCTGTATATAACTACCACATACTTATAACTACCATCTGAATACAACTATTACCTGTATATAACTACCACATATTTATAACTACCATCTGAATACAACTATTACCTGTATATAACTACCACATACTTATAACTACCATCTGAATACAACTATTACCTGTATATAACTACCACATACTTATAACTACCATCTGAATACAACTATTACCTGTATATAACTACCACATACTTATAACTACCATCTGAATACAACTATTACCTGTATATAACTACCACATACTTATAACTACCATCTGAATACAACTATTACCTGTATATAACTACCACATATTTATAACTACCATCTGAATACAACTATTACCTGTATATAACTACCACATACTTATAACTACCATCTGAATACAACTATTACCTGTATATAACTACCACATATTTATAACTACCATCTGAATACAACTATTACCTGTATATAACTACCACATACTTATAACTACCATCTGAATACAACTATTACCTGTATATAACTACCACATATTTATAACTACCATCTGAATACAACTATTACCTGTATATAACTACCACATACTTATAACTACCATCTGAATACAACTATTACCTGTATATAACTACCACATACATATAACTACCATCTGAATAAAGCTATTACCTGTATATAACTACCACATACATATAACTACCATCTGAATACAACTATTACCTGTATATAACTACCACATACTTATAACTACCATCTGAATAAAGCTATTACCTGTATATAACCACCACATGTTTATAACTACCATCTGAATAAAACTATTACCTGTATATAACTACCACATACTTATAACTACCATCTGAATAAAACTACTACCTGTATATAACTACCGCATGCTTATAACTACCATCTGTAAACAGCTACCATCTGTCCATTACTACAATCTGAATATAACTGCCATATGTCAATACATGTAACTACAACCTATCTATAACGACTATCTGTATATAAATGTAATTACCCTCTGTTTATAATACCATCTGATATTATAACTACGATATACTTATAACTACCACATGGTACACGTAACTACCACCTGTCTACACCTTAATCTGTGTACAGCTACAATTCTTAGATACAGTGTATATCACTTATACAGACAAAACAGACAAAAAAGACATACTTGAGTGTTGCATAGGTACCGGCGATTCAAATTGCGTCATCATAGATCCTTGAAAGGAGTGCATATCTATTCCTGGATGAGGGGACATCATATTAGGCGATTTACCATCATTTCCGGGTATATTTGGATATGGCTCCGCTTGGAAAGGATAGTCCAATGGATGTTTGAATTTATCTTGGTCCTTTGTGTTCGGCTGCAAAGAACTTGTTCCCGACTTTACAAAGTCCTTTTCACTAACAGGGCCTTGACGAACAGGACTGTGAATCGAACCACGTTCCACCGGAACAGTTTCACCAAATCCACTTTGCCACGGGGATAAATGACGATTATCCACGATACTCCCTTCTCTTCTAGAACCAGATGGATGCCATTCGTTAATCTTTTCCTCTTTATGCTTATTACCGGAAGTAGGACCTCCGTTTCGTTCACTTACGCTTTTATCACCATGTGTTGTTCCAGATGGTTCATGACCATTCCCAGTTAAAGTACCGGAAGTGGCAGCACCTTTGAGATGTTCAAGCATACTGGTGTCAGTAACAACTTTGCGGATAATGTTGCTAGCAGATGTTAGAGTTGTAGCGGAGGTCTCCAATAAATCAAGAGCCACTTTCAGTTGTATGCCTATAGATTTCATCCCATTAGGTAGGGCAACTGCGGTTGCCTCCGACCCGGATGTTGTATGTAAGGGATAATCGAATGTTGGTGTAGCTAGATTTGTAAAAATCATGAAAAAAAAATCATGACTGCACAGTAAATATATATTATATAAATCGTCGCATTTGAATATAATGAAAATTCGATGAAGTTTTACTATTTATATCAATATCACAAGTGACCACTGAAGTCGTGTAGAGAACCATTATTGTCTTTTCAATTGTAAACAATTAAAACAAAAGTCGTCATACCAATATGCGATGTCGATGTTCCGGAGGTAGGTTGATGTCCATCACTTCCGGTAAAAGTTTGCGCTCGTTCTGATTGACCTGGAATCCAACCGAATATGTATGTAAATGTGAGTCATTGAAATTACATTTTAAATAAAATAAGGTTTTTTTAGGCGTGCGGGTGTGCAGTGGATAACGCAATCGCGTTTTACTAAAATAGCACGGGTTCGATTCCCAAACTTGATGTGAAAAGGTATGGGGAACTTGCCGGACCGCATTTGGTTTATTCGGGTACTCCGGTTTCCACCCACAACAAGGCCCCCTGCGCAATATCATTCAGGCAAATACGAGTGATTAACATCAGCTAATATAGCATGTTTACCAACTGTTGTGCAATATTAACCAAAATGATTGAAATTAAGGATTCCTGTTCCTTGACCCATTGTTTTTTTCCGTATAAAGAGTAACCTTCCTTCAATATCATGTTTGATATTACTGTAGCAAAGATGTGTCCGGCCACAACCGTTGGCAAGGTGCTAGTAGCTCAGTCAGTTAGAGCTAAGAGTCAATCAGCCAGTTTTCTGTCGTTTGTACATTGTGCACACGATCCTACACTGTACATCTCAATCGCGGTTTTTTTCGTGTTATACTAATAACGAGAATTACCAAGGAAAAATGGAACACTTACCGCTTGATGAAGGAGAACTGTCTTTGGATGGACCGGAATTCAAATGTGCCATGATATCGGCAATAGAACTCTGCGCCGTCAATCTTCCTGGAAAAAAAGAAAAAAAGTTACATGCTAAAGGTTATCCTTCTGTATTAAGGTATAAATAATACACAGCGTTGCTCACTCAGTCTGTAGTCTGCGTCACCCTTTACGTCCGAGAGATCAAATCGAAAAACTTGTTAGATTTAAAAATAATGTTGCTGCACCTCTGTGGTATGTCATACAGAAATCGAAGGCTCTGTACGCGCTTCCTTGTGGGAACTACACAAGTTCACCAGTTTGGTCCTTTGGTGGACATCATAAGAATCGCGCGGCTGCGAAGCGGTAAAATAAGCCGACTGTTAAGTCGGGCGTTCCAACTCTGTAATTTTCAAAGGTGATGTATAAACCTAGCGAAATAAAAGTATTGTTTTTTATTATCTGAAAACCAATTAAATAGCGAACCGGATGTCATCAATTTCGTCGCGATATATCCCAGGAATACATAGAACTTAAGTAAACTCATCCCGTTGAATTTCGATTGTTTGTTTCTGTATCTATCTAAGTCTTGATATATAACTCTCAGAATAAGTTATCGTTCTGTAGTTTTGTCATCCTCGATATCCAGGGGTTACGCTCACTTTCGCTCTCTGCACCCCTGGAATATGTCATAGCAAAATTGAAGGCTCGGTGTGCACCAACTTGTTGATGAAACAAGAAGACTAGTTCGATCCTTTGATGAACATCAAAAAAATATCGCCGTCACGTAACGTTAAAGATTGACAGGCTTTAAAGTCGGGCGTCTCTCCTTTGTAATCTTAAAAGGACAGGTATCAGCCTAGCGATTGGTCAGATTTTTTTTTTAACTGAGACCAATCGAACAGCTATCTTCTTGCCTTATATTTGCCTTTGACATATTCCAGGGGTGCAGAGACCGAAAGTGGTTAAAGCATGCAGTTTGATAATACAATACAGGTAGATAACACATGTAAACACAAAAATCGGGATACTCTTTTTAATCCTATGTTCTTTCATCATTTACATAATCATGTCCCGCTTTACAAAACAATGATTCTTTTACCACCCATTATCGTATGATTTATCTACCAATCTCTAGGGTATGACAGATAGCACGTGGGAAAAAAAGTATGACGTCACAATCAACTCTCCATGGGAAACGTCATATGCAAAAGAGGATGATAAATGTGGAAACAACATTGTTTTAAAACATAGCATTTGGATGATGGGAGCAAATTAAGCATTCCGTAACTTGAGGGTGTAACAGAGCCTCGGGTTAAACAACCAAAAATGCACCCCTCGGGATTAACAACCAAAAATGCACCACTCGGGTTTGAGTGTTATCTGTAACACGCTCAATGTAGGGGACAATTATGTTATTCTTGGACAAATAAAAAATAATTTTGTTTGTACCGTAACTTAGAAATTACATCTACGTCCAAGTCAAAATGTGATATCCTCAGAGACAATATTTGATCATAGTTACCCTCTGGATTATCCTGTTTCCTAGAGGCGGAAATAGACGTGTAGTGTCCGTGGTCCGTGTGTGTAGACGTCATTGATGATGCTTTCCCATCATGCTTTGCCAATGAATTGGACATAAGAGAAGCGTCTGGAATTTTGAGGAAAAGATTTTAACGTTTTCTTTCTGTTTTGCTTTTTTATACACTTATAACGTCATTTTTTTCAAAGTTATATTTTTGATTATTGAAAAAAAGACGGCGAAAAGTTAGTCCTATTTTTTTTACATCAAATCGGAAAAAAACATTCAAAAATAACGTAATGGTTCGAGGGCCTGTAGCAAAACACCGGAGAGTTCCACTACAGTTTTGCAAACAAAGAGTTACGTCCCCTTTAGTCTGTATTGCTTAAATAACGCTGATTAGGTAATTCAGTTGTTTAGAGAGACCGGAGATCTGAGGTAAGAATTGCGGGGTTGCAGAACTCTCCCGTTTACAGTTTTAAAGATATCCCTTGTGTATTTAGTTCGTAAATCTCACGGTGGTTTATCTAGTGAAATAAACTTATTTTCATTCAAAGTAAACACCGTATATGTCGCAAAAAACATTTATCATTCAAATCACCAAGACGGCATTGCATTCGAAACTTAGTAAATAAATAATAAAGACACTCACCATGCCCATGTTTACTTCTATCGGATAGTCCCTGTATAATCTTGGCCAGCAGAGGTGAGAAGTCAGACAGTTTATTAGGCGCATCTTTATTCTTCTCTTTCAGCGACTTCATCATCCTATCCATCATTGTAAAGCTGGCAACTTCCGGCTTGGTAGCGGCAAGTTCTAATGGACATGGAATAGCCGGTCACACATGACTTCACACATTGTTTGGCACGTGCTTATATTGTCATATCAATTTATACATTTTCCTTTTTTTTGCAACGTTGATTTCGTCTTATGTGGTTGATTATTCCGTCTTTGCGTATTGCAGAGTTTTCTTCTCTTTGGAGCAGGTATTGATTGTTACGTCATTGGTTTGTGTGCAAAAATTACGTCGTTTTCTCAAAAATTGATGACGTTACTCTCACAAACAAATGACATAACAATCAAAACCTGCTGACAAGAGAAGATAACTCTGCAATACGCAAAAACGGAATACTTGTTCAGTCCCATATTCGAGATATTTGACAACTAGCCTACTATATAATTGAATCTTACAACTACTTTGACTTGGCAACAAAAATACTCCTTTACACATATTAGCGTTAGTCTTATTTTAGCGGTGTTCGCTCTACATATTGCGCAGGATTATCAATGAGTCAATTTACTACATATATAATTTTCTCTATGGCATATTTTTCTAGGTGCGCCAATTCACCAGAGCGCTCACCTGTAAGAATTTTACCGGGCGCAAAATTAGTACGCTTACAGTATTTTATATAATAAGGGAGTAGCACGTTGTTCTGAGTGTTTTATCACAACATACCGTTATTGAGGCTGGTTTTAGTGGAATCCAATGGAGCGATTTCAGCAACTGAAACATACATTTTGTATAACAGTTATCAGTGTTGCGTCATTGATTGTAATTGTTTAATATTGCATGTTCCATTACAGACCATCATGGATACTACAGGGGTTACGCCCACTTTCGCTCTATATTCCCCTGGAATATGTCATAGAGAAATCGCGAGTTGGATTTGGTAGGATCGCTTACAATCGTTTTGGTATCCATTGTGTCTTTAGACTCTTATATGATTTTTTAATACCACACTTTTTTTTCAAAATGAAAGCTTGCCTATAGATACGAACCGAACTGCTCAGTGATTGCGTAATGTAGTACCTGGATCTCAAAATGGCGCCGGGCTACACGCCGCTCGTATTTACTCCTCTTTTTATACATCATTATAGCACATGTCGCGATATCGTCATCCTCGATATTCCAGGGATTACACTCACTTTCGCGCTCTCTCGCTCTGCACCCATGGAATGCATGTCATAGCGAAATCGAAGGCTTAATATGCGCCACCTTGTTCATGAAACAAGAAGACTAGTTTGAACTTTTGATGTACAACAAAAAGAATCTCGCGGTCGCGTAACGGTAAAATTGACTGCCTTTTAAGTCGGGTGTCGCTCCTCTGTAATCTGTAAAGGACAGGTATCCGCCTGGCGATTGGTAAGATTGTTTTTACCTGAGACCAATCAAATAGCTAGCCGCGTCGCGCCTTCAATATTGATATGACATATTCCAGGCGTGCAGAGAGCGAAAGTGAACGTAACACCTTGAGTATCGAGGATGCGAAAGCGTATACTTTCCATATCTTATTACAATTATATATGCTGTATAGTTGGCACAAGAATAACTCTGAATCCACATATTTCTACAATATTCCGCTCGATATTTGAGTGGGCGGCGACATTCAAATAAATGCTACAGAAACTTGTGATACAAACATTTGCGGGTTATCTCCCTTCGTATGTCGCGATCAAAACGGCTGGACCGGTTTGACCGGAGTTGTTCGTTTATGAAAGAAGGTCAACCCTAGTTATATGATGCTGTTTGCAAACAAGCCTTGACAAAGCGTGCAAGGCCTGCATAAACATTCACAGGTCCGCCAGGATTTAAAACATTTTTTTTTTAGTAAATCATTAAATTTGTGTTTTCTTTTCGGTGCAATAATAATCTCCTCGATACACAGCCGCCTCGTTATGCGTTTTAAGAAAAGTCAAAGGTACACAGCAATTTCAACATATAACCACATTTTATGATTGTACTATAATTAGGCATTTTCGTATTTTTAACAATAATTAATAATTAATTTCAATTATTTACCTTTCTTTTGAGCGATGGCCGCAACATAACCGACGCCAACACCTGAAAATGCAGAAGAGTAGTCAAAATCAGGATTAAAAAAAATCAACATAACAACAAACGCAGATGTCATTTTACAGTTTGATTTGAGGATCTATACGACCGGGCAGATTATTTTCTTAACCTGATCAAAAGTGATATAAAGAATGTTGTAGATAATTTGGAGATTTATTTTATATTTATTATTAATTAAATAATGTATTATCATTGGAATGAATGAGAATGAAGGATTGAATGAGGGAAGAAATGAAAGAAAAGAGTTAGGGAAGGGATAGAGGCCTCCTGTATTAGGCAACTTGATGTAACATAAACCCAGGGCATCCCAACCCTGGCATCGCTCCTCAAAGAAGCTGGGGAAATAAATTAAATTTGAACCTAGATTATCGTTTTCCTTCCTTTGGAGACACACACACATACCAAATAGTTCTTCAAATTGCTATAGTAAGATGAGGAATTATGGCTCTTAAATATGATAATGTTTACCAAGAGTTTCAAAACAATGAACTATCCAGTATTTCTATTCGCGCTATTTACAAACATACGTGCCGTGTGTGTGTGTGTGTTTTAATTTATTTTACAATAAAAAACAAGTTTTTACAATATCAATCAATCTTGTTGGCCCGAATGTAAGTGCGCGGGGGCTCTTAATTAATGTGGGAGGACACCCGAGTACCCGGAGAAAACCCACGTGGTCGGCCAGGTGACCATATACCTTTTCACGTCCGATCGGGGAATCGAACCACGGCCGCCTTGGTGAAATGCAAGTGCGCTATCCACTGTGCCATCCGACCACCCGTTTGCCGTGTGTTAAAGTTTATAAGTAACCATGCCAATAGTTTAATCACACTGATAACGCATGTAAAAAAAAAGTAAATGAAACGAACCTAATCCCATGTATTATTAACTGACCCATTTTACGACATGTCATACGGCCAAGTCATAAATACTGTTTTACACACGTGCAATAAAACCTAAAGATGCTTATATTTGTCGAAACCGCAGGTACATATTCCTATGCCTCTCAGGTGCAATTTTTATTTACAATACCGTTAATTAAATAAATTTTGAAATCTTTATTTTGTCATTGTAATTCCTATTGCATTTAAAAAAAAGTCGTTTTTACCAAAAAATCTTGAACTACCTAGTACTGCGCGAAAAGACAAAAAATGATCGTAGTACTTTGGTTTGACGTATATAGAGTCAGCAAATAACACACAATTGTGTGTAAAGTTCTTTTTTTTCATACCATGAATGTTATGTGATAAATATAATCCTACATTCATGTCATGTTGAAATTATTAAATTCGTAAAATAAGTTGATTAAGCATTGAACTGTTTTTGTATGGTATTTATGATCTATTTGAATGACACAACTTTGCAAGCAAACATCATAATGCGCGCTAGATCATTGATACCATACAAAAAGCAGTTCAATACTTATCTTTACGTTTTTCTCCCTTTTATGTTCTTTTTAACTTACAATTTATTTTTGAAATTTAGAATTCCCGCCTTATCGACAGTCCACACAAATTCGTTCCATTCGTTTAACTTATTCCACAATTCAGTATCAATACAATTGCGTCTGACATGTCTGTAGGGTGATTAAAGTTCATCAATAGAAATCTGAGCTGAACGTTAGATTTGAAAATGTTTCGATTTTTCCCCGGAACAAATTTCTTGCATGGATAAATACAGTGTACACCGTAATCCGACTTTGCCCTCCACGAGGAAGTTATTTTTGGAAGTTGAATGAGCAGAGAGAAAAATTCGAATTTGTGAAGAATTTGTGAAGAATCCAAGCATGGATTTATTTGTTGATTGTATAAGAACCTGATTACAGTCTGTTGATTCTACAAAAGCCTCGTTATTTGACATGTCGTCATAAACTGCGGAAACCGTGGCTGATAGACGCATGATACTGATAGCGATTGAAGTGAGTGATCTTGCGACAGAGCACAGGGGTTCGTTACAAATGTCTGAAATACACATATGCATTGTGTATGTTTATTTGTGCTGTGACTCATATCAGTAGGCCTATAGCATATGTGTGTTTCAGGTATTTGTAACGAACCCCTGTCGATCAGTGCAGTGATAAATTGCATGAGTGTTAGAATTATTTCCATGGCCGGCACTGGTTAATTCAACCGATGTGCATTTTGTACGATATTGCAGACATTTGTCTTTTTTTAGTAATAAAAGTGGTTTTTTGGGGGTTTTTTTGGGTTTTTTTTTACAAATTTACAATTACATTGTCAAGTCTCAGCGATATTTCAGCAGCCGTCATGTTTGTTTACATTGGATATCGTAGTTCCGGTCGGTGTTGTATTAATACGCTAAGAATTATGTCTCGTGTTGCATGGTATTTAAAGTTCCGTCAACGACACAGATTTCAAATAGTCTATATAGTGACAATGCCATGCACATGCAAATATTACGATATGGACATCCATATGAGATTGTGAGTTCCTGATTCGAGTTCTTTCACACTTTTTGTCCAATGCAGTGCCTCTTAAAACTGATGTTGTTCAAAGAGCGCAAATCGAAACGTGTATTGTACAGACCCCAGGCCGTTTTTCGTGTCCGTTTTAACGCCAACGCAACGGAAACGCAACAACGGACTTTTGGAAAAGAAAAACGATCCAGGGTCTGTATAATTCTTTTGAATAAATCAAGAACGGAAACATAGATGGACAAAAATTAAAAAGAAAAAAATAATACATAGAAAAAATTAAATAAAAACAACAACATAATAATATAACCGATACGCCTTTTAAAAGTTATTGTCAATTGTTCTCCGTTTTTTTTTTGTCGGTCGACTAAATGTCAATCGAGCTTAAAGGAAGCCAAACACACCGTGACATTTCAAAATAAGACGTAGTCGTAGATTCAACATACAAAGCAGTTAAAAATTATAATAATCGTTTGTATCGTTGACTGTATAAGTTATCCTTACATCTCAGTATAAACTTGTCAAGTTATCCTCATTAAGGTAAAGGTCCTATAAGTTAGACTCTACGCTTGCCATTGTCGTTATTGTGACATACACGTACTACATAACGGGAAATTGTCGCTCTGTAAAATTTACGCCCTTCGATTGAAATTTATACGTTTTCGCCCGATATTTAATTCTCCCTTCATATTTAACTATTAAGTATATAAGGTTGTGGCAAATGTTCGCTGAAATACTCATTACTGACGGCGAAAAAGGCATAATTTAAACTGCAGCGAAAACGTTCCTCCTGATATACTGTGCTTACAGACCCTGTCAACTGAATTATTCCAAGCAAATCACGTGCTGCTATGCATTTTACGAAATTGTAGTTAATCAATATTTCAATATAAAAAAAATGTAAAAAAATCGAACTCGGGACCTTTATATTGCAAAGCGTACGCTAAACCAATGTTGAGTTATAAAAAAACTTGACAGGGGAAGCAACTCTAAGCAAGAAAAACTCTTTTTTGTTACTTCATATTCTATATAGAGAATACTCCAGGTCAAAGAAAACTCTAAGAATGGAACTCTTTTTCGCGGTTATAACTGATGAAGTGGTACCGTTTGCCTTAAAAAAAATCTACACCGCATGCAATTTCAATAAAGTTGGTTAGATTATTCCACAACACAGAATATGTATACTGTGAAAGTACTAATTAAAGCGGTGATTTTTTGTAGTGTATTATCATATTTTGATGGATTAGAACATGGATAAAATGACACGCTTACAACAATAGCAATTTAGAATACAATCTACAAAAACTTAAGTTTGGGCAATCATAAACTAGCGCAATGTTAAAGAGTGAAACGCGTTAAAATTAAAATACCGCTAACATTTATTCGTTCACAGTATGTTAAATATCTCTTAAATAGTCTGTTCTTGCTAAAGGTATATACATGATGATGCTCCTATGGATCTACCAACTAATTCACTTTTATGAAAAAGAAATCATCTGTGAAACATCTGAAATATCACAGTTGATAATTTGTATATGCCTAAATATATCAAAAGAAATTTTCTAAAACAACAAAACTCGGACACAAGCAGCCATCTTACAATTTAAAAGTATATGATTTGGAATTAAGATATTTCTATCGTTAAACTCTAACAGAATCAATGGTGTTTTATAGACGCCTCTACCCCGTTGCTATATTCGACACATATTTCGGAACACTGAAAACATGTTTTTGTTTATTTTTAGTAGCACTGATATGAGTCTTCAATTGATCATAATAGTGTAATAATTATGTTTACTTTATCCAGCATTCTGCACCTTAATCACAGTTTTGTGTTTTTTTTTATTTAGAAATATTTTGTTATCAACGAAGAAAACAGTTGAATTATGCTACTCAATGCGGTTCGTCTGTAGTCGTTGAAAGATATAGAAAATAAAAGGTAATTTCACGTTTTCAGACAGAAGAAATCGTTCGTTTGAATTTTATAGAATTTTCAGATTAACTTTTCCAGGGAAACAAAATGTTGACGATAAGATCTTGCTCACAGAATGATCTCGAAAACGAAAATAAACGAAGAATTAACATTAAAATACTTACATAGAACGAAAAGAACCAATGCCGGAAGTGTCACCAGATTTGCCATGATGATTCACTTCAATTAACTCCTCAGAACCTCACCACACCGACGCCGAAACCGAAAAAAGAAACATTCAAGTCTACACGTGTAGGCATACAGGTGATACCTGTGTGAAATACAAGCTAAGGACATTTTCTACTGCATGTCAGTCACATATAAAAACCATCGGTCTCTGTAACCGTTTAGTCACGACCCCGGGCCCAGCGACAGGTAATAATCGGCTATAAAGGTCAGGCCAGCTCCACGGCCTCGAGTATCAAGTAACATCAGCTTCACTTTCTAATACAAAATATACTTAACATTTCATTTATCGTTATTAAAATGACATCAATATATGAAACTAATTTAATTCTAATTTTTACATATATACCATTTTTAATATAATCCGAAAGACTGATATCTTCTGTTTGTTTATACATTCTCACAAAATAATATTAAAGGTAATGTGTTATAAAAAGTTGACAAGGCTTGACAGACATGGGTCAAGGAAACTGCGAAGTACATGCTTTGATTAGTAACAGACATATTTATGTTTTATATAAGTTTTATGTCCCTATACAAAGAATGTAATTCAAGTTTATTGTCATATGAATGTTATATTTTCATGACGATTTCATAAATTTGTCTTCAAGTTCTTCATTGACTCGTTATTTAGTTTATTTCAAATGACCTTGTGACAATGTTTCGATTTCAATTTGTTTACATACAGTTATCTTGTTCTTATTATTTTAATTTGTTTAAATTCCATCATCTTATACTTATTATTTAAATTTGTTTACATACAATTATCTTATACTTATCATTTAAATTTGTTTACATACAATTATCTAAGACTTATCAGTTAAATTTAGTTTACATACACTTATATTGTGCTTATTTTTTATTTGTTCACAAACAATTATCTTAGACTTATCATTTAGATTAGTTGTTAAATCATTATTTTAGACTTATTATTAAAATTTGTTTTCGTACAATTATCTTAGACTTATTATTTGATCTGTTTACATACAATTATATTATACTTATTATTCAAATTTGTTTACATACGATTATCTTATACATGTGTACTTATACAAATTTGTTTACATACAAATATCTTATAGTTCACATTTAGATTTGTTTACATACAATCATCTTAGACTTAACATTAAAATTTGTTTACATACAATCATCTTATACTTATCATTGAAATTTGTTTACATACAATTATCTTAAATTATCATTTTAATTTGTTTACATACATTTATCTTATACTTATCATTTAAATTTGTTTACATACAATTATCTTATACTTATCATTTAAATTTGTTTACATACAATTATTTTATACTTATCATTTAAATTTGTTTACATATAATTATCTTATACTTATCATTTAAATTTGTTTACATACAATTATCTTATACTTATCATTTAAATTTGTTTACATACAATTATCTTATACTTATCATTTAAATTTGTTTACATATAATTATCTTATACTTATCATTTAAATTTGTTTACATATAATTATCTTATACTTATCATTTAAATTTGTTTACATACAATTATCTTATACTTATCATTTAAATTTGTTTACATACAATTATCTTATACTTATCATTTAAATTTGTTTACATATAATTATCTTATACTTATCATTTAAATTTGTTTACATATAATTATCTTATACTTATCATTTAAATTTGTTTACATACAATTATCTTATACTTATCATTTAAATTTGTTTACATACAATTATCTTATACTTATCATTTAAATTTGTTTACATATAATTATCTTATACTTATCATTTAAATTTGTTTACATACAATTATCTTATACTTATCATTTAAATTTGTTTACATACAATTATCTTATACTTATCATTTAAATTTGTTTACATACAATTACCTTATACTTATCATTTAAATTTGTTTACATACAATTATCTTATACTTATCATTTAAATTTGTTTACATACAATTATTTTATACTTATCATTTAAATTTGTTTACATACAATCATCTTAGAGTTAACAGTAATGTTTGTTTACATACAATCATCTTAGAGCTAACAGTAATGTTTGTTTACATACAATTATCTTATACTTACCATTTAAATTTGTTTACATACAATTATCTTATACTTATCATTTAAATTTGTTTACATACAATCATCTTAGAGCTAACAGTAATGTTTGTTTACATACAATCATCTTATACTTATCATTTAAATTTGTTTACATACAATTATCTTATTCTTATCATTTAAATTTGTTTACATACAACAATCTTGGGGTTAACAGTAATGTTTGTTTACATACAATCATCTTATACTTATCATTTAAATTTGTTTACATAGAATCATCTTAGAGTTAACAGTAATGTTTGTTTACATACAATCATCTTAGACTTAACAGTGAGATTTGGTTTAATACATCTACTCTGTATCTTAGACTTATCATTTCACGGGGCCGCGGTAGCGAAGTGATTAAGGCGTCTGACATTCTGCTTCCACTATCCCTCCACCACTGGGTCGCGGGTCCGAGACCTACGTTGGGCAAACGCCAGGTACTGGCCGTAGGTTGGTGGTTTTTCTCCGGGAACTACGGCTTATCTCCACTACCAAAACCTGGCACGTCCTTAAATAACCATATAGCTGGTAATAGCACGTAACACACACGAACGAAAGTGTTGTTTAGATTTGTTTACATATGCATATACTCTGTATATTAGACTTATAATTTAAGATGTTTTGCCATTCGTTTCGAAGACGTTTTATCTCTTTGAACTGTTTTTTATCTCTCAAATGAGATTTCTTCAATCTACGTTAGAGATGAAAAATAAACCATTTATTTACATTCAATTCATCAAATCTATATATTATATCGTGTACATTACAATACAATAGCAGCTTACGTTGGTAATCTAATAAAAAAAATATATATTATCATAACACTGAGATTTAATTAATCCTTATAAAAAAAATTCTGGATATTTACAGCCACCACTATATTATTATCGTCGAATAAAAAAAAATCCGGAATCCGTCTCCCGTCATACCGTTTTTTGCCTATATAACCTGAGTGTAAAAAGCTCCGTCCGTTAAAAATGCCTAAGACTTTTTGTTACCTTCATATCTCACTATATTTGACGGGAGGTATTTAATTTTGTCCCGAGCACCTTGATATTATCTGTGATTTTTGTTGTAATGTAGGTGCATAATTCTGTTTAATAAATGTTTTGTCCTTTAAGATTTTTTGTTTTATGTTTTATTTTCTTCCGCGACTATCAAAGTCCCTATATAACTTTGTGCCAAATAGAAAAAAATGACCAGTCCGACATAAACTGACCGTAGTATGAACCTTGACCATTATGTACCTATTTATTAGTTTATTTATCTAATTAGGACAACAACATCAATAATTCATAACCGTCAGAACGATGAATAATGTTAAACTGTACACCTGTAATGTACAAGCTGAATCAGTCGCGACGTCCTTAGCCAAGCGTGACCGGTATTGAAACATCCAAACTGATTTTGTCAAATTTTACAACATCGTAAGTATTTGTTTGTATTATTTCTGTCAGTCATTTGAAGTCATAAAAGCTATGTATTTTTCAGCATTACTGTCAATGATATAAATATCACTAGCGTGTAAGTAGGCTAACCATGCTCAGAAGAATAAAACATACTTCAGTGGAAACGAACAGTGTAAGTAATGCCTAGTTAGCTTAACTACTTGAATAAACAAATATATTTGTTATATTAATTGATATTTTGAAAGTAATTTATCTGTTAAACAGTTTCTGTTTGTTTCTTTGATAAAATGTTGGAGAAAAGCCACATATACATACTCTTGAAATTACAATCCGTACACATGTAAATCTTACTTCACTGTCTTTGAGAAAGCTTTTTGTAACTTGTCTTTTTTTTCCTTTTGAGGTAGCTTTTGCATACTTAATAAAGAATATCATACAACCAATTCACAGAGTTCAAATACATGTATATCTTTTTTTATGCTTCTAGGAATCATCTATTCTTCTTCGACTTGACCCTGACGTCGTACATGTAATTTGGATATTTAGCTGCCATTACGGACAAAAGAGGTAGCACTATAAAGTCGGCATCAGTTCCGCGCTATCACAAGGAGATAAACACGAACATATCGCAGTCTCCCAAAATACACACACATACACTACACGCATGCATCTTGCACACAGGGGAGGCCGTCCTTAAATGACCTTAGCTGTTAATAGGACGTTAAACAAAATCAAACAAACAAACAAACAAACGGACAAAACACGGCATTGCAAACACTGTGCCCTACGCGTTGGGTGTAACTTGTAGATCGGAGCTAAGGCGTGCTATACAATGTATCCGGGAAATACACATTCAAGCTGTGATAACTACCTGTGTGCTGTGATAACTACCTGTGTGCTGTGATAACTACCTGTGTGCTGTGATAACTACCTGTGTGCTGTGATAACTACCTGTGTGCTGTGATAACTACCTGTGTGCTGTGATAACTACCTGTGTGCTGTGATAACTACCTGTGTGCTGTGATAACTACCTGTGTGCTGTGATAACTACCTGTGTGCTGTGATAACTACCTGTGTGCTGTGATAACTACCTGTGTGCTGTGATAACTACCTGTGTGCTGTGATAACTACCTGTGTGCTGTGATAACTACCTGTGTGCTGTGATAACTACCTGTGTGCTGTGATAACTACCTGTGTGCTGTGATAACTACCTGTGTGCTGTGATAACTACCTGTGTGCTGTGATAACTACCTGTGTGCTGTGATAACTACCTGTGTGCTGTGATAACTACCTGTGTGCTGTGATAACTACCTGTGTGCTGTGATAACTACCTGTGTGCTGTGATAACTACCTGTGTGCTGTGATAACTACCTGTGTGCTGTGATAACTACCTGTGTGCTGTGATAACTACCTGTGTGCTGTGATAACTACCTGTGTGCTGTGATAACTACCTGTGTGCTGTGATAACTACCTGTGTGCTGTGATAACTACCTGTGTGCTGTGATAACTACCTGTGTGCTGTGATAACTACCTGTGTGCTGTGATAACTACCTGTGTGCTGTGATAACTACCTGTGTGCTGTGATAACAACCTGTGTGCTGTGATAACTACCTGTGTGCTGTGATAACTACCTGTGTGCTGTGATAACAACCTGTGTGCTGTGATAACTACCTGTGTACTGTGATAACAACCTGTGTACTGTGATACATTGAAAGTTTTGTGCAGACCGTGGTTATTACAATTGTCATAAAAATGTTTACGAACTAATTTCATCACAATCCATTTTAGTAACTACAGAAAACAGAAATGATGATCAATATCTGTCGATATATGTTATCATACAACTAAAAACAAACAACATATTGACGTTTAGACAAAGTGCAAATGACACCATTTTCTTGTTTCACGGATACATATTGACCCAAAATGAGGTTGATTGGAGGATTTATTAACCTTCAACCCATGCTCTTGGTTACCATCGTTATGGCGTCAGCGTACAACCCATCAGGTAAGACACGCTATTTTCCCACCTTCTCCAATTGTACCAGTCTCATGATTTCACTGTCACCACTGACAGTATGATTTCACTGTCACCCTTTAGAGTATGATTTCTCTGTCACCCTTTAGAGTATGATTTCTCTGTCACCACTGACAGTATGATTTCTCTGTCACCCTCAGAGTATGATTTATCTGTCACCCCCAGAGTATGATTTATCTGTCAACCCTAGGGTATGAGTTATCTGTCACCACTCAGAGTATAATTTCACTGTCACCCTTTAGAGTATGATTTCTCTGTCACCCTTTAGAGTATGATTTCTCTGTCACCCTTTAGAGTATGATTTCTCTGTCATCACTGACAGTATGATTTCTCTGTCACCCCCAGAGTATGATTTATCTGTCACCCCCAGAGTATGATTTATCTGTCAACCCTAGGGTATGAGTTATCTGTCACCACTCAGAGTATAATTTCACTGTCACCCTTTAGAGTATGATTTCTCTGTCACCCTTTAGAGTATGATTTCTCTGTCACCCTTTAGAGTATGATTTCTCTGTCATCACTGACAGTATGATTTCTCTGTCACCCCCAGAGTATGATTTATCTGTCACCCCCAGAGTATGATTTATCTGTCAACCCTAGGGTATGAGTTATCTGTCACCACTCAGAGTATAATTTCACTGTCACCCTTTAGAGTATGATTTCTCTGTCACCCTTTAGAGTATGATTTCTCTGTCACCCTTTAGAGTATGATTTCTCTGTCATCACTGACAGTATGATTTCTCTGTCACCCCCAGAGTATGATTTATCTGTCACCCCCAGAGTATGATTTATCTGTCAACCCTAGGGTATGAGTTATCTGTCACCACTCAGAGTATAATTTCACTGTCACCCTTTAGAGTATAATTTCACTGTCACCCTTTAGAGTATGATTTCTCTGTCACCCTTTAGAGTATGATTTCTCTGTCACCACTGACAGTATGATTTCTCTGTCACCGCCAGAGTATGATTTATCTGTCACCAATTAGAGTATGATTTCACTGTCACCCTTTAGAGTATGATTTCTCTGTCACCCTTTAGAGTATGATTTCTCTGTCACCACTGACAGTATGATTTCTCTGTCACCCCCAGAGTATGATTTATCTGTCACTCCTTAGGTAATGATTCACACCCAAATTAGTATTTATCTGTCATCCCCTAGGATTTGGTTTCTCTGTCACCACTTGGGTATTATTTCTCTGTCACCTCCTAGAAAATAACTTCTCTGTCACCCCCGGATTATCATTTATCTGTCAACCCTAGGCGCGGTAGTCTATTGGTAGGACGCGGGCTAGTGACTGAATGGTTGCGGGTTCGAGGCACGGCACGGCACTGTTTGGTATCCTTGAGCAAATAGTTTACTCCGTTTGTTCCAGTCTACTCAGTTGTAAATGAGTACGTGGTTGGGCAGTGCTAGAATTGTAGAATATCTAGCTGTGAGCGTCGAAATGGCAGCACCGGCTGTATGCTCCCCAGGGAGTTGAGAACGATATTGGCTGGTTGCAAAGGCCCTATAACCACGGATAAAAATTTGTAAAGCGCTTTGAGACGACCTACTAACTATGTTGAGATAGAGCGGTATATAAGAACCTCGAATTATTATTATTATTATCATTATAATATTATGATTTTTCTGACATCCCTTAGAGTATGGTTTCTCTGTCACCACTAGGGTATTATTTCTCCTTCACCCCCTAGGTAATGACCCCCCTCCCTGCTAGGGTATGGTAGATGGCTTAAAGAGACAAAAAAACTATTGCGTCATGGGAACAATAACGCATGACGTCATCATTAACTCATGACGGGAAAGGTCATGTGCAATTTAGAATAAATTACAATTTACAAATGCTGAAATCTATTGACTTTAAACATATTATAGGAATGATAAGATGGAAATAATCATCCCCTACACAAAGGATGTAACACAGAAATACACAGCCTTCGGGCTGATCTTTGTGTTGTCTAACCCTCGTCAGAGCCCCGTGTTATACAAACAAATAAATCACCCCTCGGATTAGAAATGTCTCCGTCCCACCCTAAAGGTAAATTTAATATTCTATTTTATCAATCACAAAAAGAGTTAATAAGTACAAGTCAAATGCAGCTGTACATTCTATTTAATTAAAAAAAAAACTGTCCCTGTGTAATACCAGAAATAAAAGTGGACGTACCACCTGTCCCTGTGTAATACCAGAATTAAAAGTTGACATACTACCTGTCCCTGTGTAATACCAGAAATAAAAGTTGACGTACCACCTGTCCCTGTGTAATACCAGAAATAAAAGTTGACATACCCCCTGTCCCTGTGTAATACCAGAAATAAAAGTTGACATACCACCTGTCCCTGTGTAATACCAGAAATAAAAGTCGACATACCACCTGTCCCTGTGTAATACCAGAAATAAAAGTGGACCTAACACATTTCCTTGTGAAATACCAGAAATACAATTGGATCTAACAAGTTTATACATAAATAAAGTGGATAATACTCATGTCCACGTTGGCTCAAGCGTTTGAATAACCAGTACGAAAAATTACATCTTAAAAAATCAGCCACCGTATTAATTTGATAAATGACTTGATAAACATTAGTGAAGAAGTTGATGACTCGTGCCAAGTCCGAACCTCGATTTCAAGGCGTAACGTAAAAACGCAACACATTTTCTGTTTTTCTCGGGGTTTATTCACAACAGAAAAAAGATGTATATCAAGCTAGTAACTATTGAAGGCGGAAGCCAGTGATCATTGAACAATAACAAAAACGCATTTCTGATCCGATCACGTGACTGCCGATACGTACCGATACTCTATCCCCGACCTCGAGGTGAGTAGCGACAAAGGCTGAAGAGGCACTATCCCATGTCGTGGCTTGGCCAATTTCAGCGGATCCAATGGCGACAATGTTGTGTACTAAATTGGAATAAATAAACTGGTGACCCCAGACACCTACTGACCAGGAGAGGACGTACACTCCAGACACTTACTGACCAGGAGAGGACGTACACTCCAGACAATTACTGACCAGGAGAGGACGTACACTCCAGACACCTACTGACCAGGAGAGGACGTACACTCAAGAAACTTACTGACCAGGAGAGGACGTACACTCCAGACACTTACTGACCAGGAGAGGACGTACACTCCAGACACTTACTGACCTTGACCTTAAGAGGATGTATACTCAAGACACTTACTGACCTTGACCTTAAGAGGACGTACACTCCAGACTGGGTGCCGGTAAATACACCTGTGTAGGTATTGTAGTTGACGCCCCCGCTGTTGGTGATTTGGTGGTCGAAGACTTTTGCTTTCCCTAAGGATGGATTCGAAATTGGTTCTGTTAGGACAACTTGAAACGCCACCAATGTTGTCAGTCAGTCCTGGAAATAAATAAATCGTTTATCATTTAGAGAATTAAACCAAGTCAGCGAAATTAAAAACAAGTAATTATATACATGCAATGCATATGTATATAAATCGTATACATGCACAATAGTGGGTAGAACTTCAAAATCATGCCGCTTGATTCATTTTAAGAGTTCAAAAAAGACAGCGAGATAAAACAAAAGTAGAAAAAACGTTGATAACTTCTTGTTGAAAAGGAATACATTTCGCATTTGAAAACGAATACAATAAATTCTGAACGTTCATTAAAATTGTTATGTTTGTACATTTGTCCTTTTAAATAATAGTTATTATTTAATTCTTGTTTGAAAGGGGTACATTTCGCATGTTAAACTTATAAAAGAAATTATGTAAGTTCATTAAAATTGGTATGTTTGTAAATTTGTACTTTTGCAATTAAGTTGATTTAAACAAAAGTTATATTACGTGGACAAAATAAAACAAGTGTATTGTGTGTTTGTGTGATAGGCTGAGTCGGTTTCATTAGCGTTTACCACGTATTGGAAATACTTACGGTCTGAATTAACCTTCCTGTGGTGTCTGGATTTGATCCTATGTTGACCTCTAACGGTTTTAGAGTTCGATGAGCCAGCAAGGTATGTCGACGAATCTTCTTTATTTGTCGTCGAAACGTCGAATGTAGGTGGAGCGGGAGATGGTAAGGTTATATCACTTATGTTGTAATACGGAATCTCGTCACGAGGTGGAATGTGGGCCTAGTTTGAGATACAGTCCTCAGCCTCGTTTTCACAGTGGCGCTCCAACTCCTTCACTCGTTTACTCATCAAAGTTATCCGGGTCGTCTCAAGCGCATCATTTTTGCGTGATTCTGTCAGATCCTCTACACGTTTATTCAGTTCGTTCACATATTCGGAGCGTAATTGTTACAACTAGTTCATTCGTTTGGTCAACATAACGAGCTGTTCAATAGGGGTTTTGGTCGAGTCAGTAAAAGCGGCGTGAATTATCGGTTGTTTGAGCATGGTGGCTGCGGTCAGCATTACACCCGTGACTAATACCAATATGAACAACGTTCCCAAAAAATACTTTTCAAACCCCTCCCCATAGTATACACGAGCTTATAAATACTCTGACAATGTGTTGCAGTGTACACCTTTTTGCATGCCGTTTTATCTACCGTTGACACGTGCTATGGCAATAGAAATGTGCACCTTTATATTTGTGCAGTAGAATAGGAGTGTACATAGTTCCTAATGACGCCTTGTCTTCGGTTCATACCATGTGTCGTGCTCACATAGATAAACCAATGCGATACTTGACTTGTCAACTTCATTATCCACCGGAAACTTTGAAAAAAAAGACGAACATTTAGAAATCATTCAAAAATGTTTTTACCTGCCGATCGTTTGCACTTTTAACTATGTCAACCTTCAGTTTCCTGTTTGTCTGGTTTCCTTTTTTTTAATAGGAATTTACTAAACATGCCAAGAGACGAATACATACCATATACATAATATAGTATCGAACAAAAATCACTGACTCACACTGATTAAGTTAAAAAACGTTAATAAGTATGATGTATTCATTGTAAAATTGTACATTTGTTTAATGTCATGTGTATGTACATATAAACAATAGTATCCCTATCAACTGTGAGTTATCTCGACAGTATACGTCATCACAACATAATGATAAAGTCCACTAACCAGGATAATTTAGGCGACATATCATAATAACTATCTAAATAAGTTATCGTAAATAGCGATATATGCCACAGTATATATTTCACTGACGAAATATGCCACAGTATATATTTCACTGACGATATATGCCACAGTATATATTTCATTGAAGACTAAATACTTCTATATTTGGACAAATCAGTGTATTATTAACCTTAGCAATCTTTCATTGTGTTGGAAATATTGCAATACTAAGACAGTTTTATCACATAATGTACTGTGTTATCCAGTGAATATACCCATGTCATATCTTTTGCGTATTAACCCATGTAATATGACCTATCAGCCCTGTGATTGGTTGTAAGTTTCAATTGTTTCAATTGTGACGTCACGCCAAGGACAAGTACATGACGTCACAGACTTACGCACTAGAGTTAAAATGGCGGCTTTTCAAGGTTGCATGAAAATTGTCGTTTTACACAAATAAATGCCAAAAATCTTGAATATGTGATAAAAAGGATCTTATACTCGTTTTCATTTCATATAAAAAATTATGAAAATCATCACGTATTTTTCATTTTAGCTCGCCAGAGGCTCGTTAAATTGAAAAATTCTTAGACTTTCATATATCTCATATGAAATAGAAACTCGTGCATGATCCTATATGTATATCATTTTTGTAGATTACAATGTCTGTTTAGATATACAGTTAACTCTCAATATAATGCCCCTCGTTTCATTTGGTAACTCGTTTACTGCCATCAAATTTGAATGTCCCCTTTTGTCGGTTTTTTTTTACGAATTTCTTTATACATTTCCACCTTTTATCGCAAAAACCTCTTTAGCCATTATTTCATTATATAGAGTACAATGTAATGTTTAAGAGGTCAGTTTGTGTCCTTCAATGGTGTCATTACCTAACTATACGTTTATAAATCATAACACCGAAGACCGTTAAAAAGTTTGTTAAAAACTATATTTAATCAGTCTATTTACGAAATCATTGTCAACCTGAAGATGGTTTTGATGTAAATAACGAAATTTGATTCTGACGTCAAAATTAGGCATTTTAACCGAATCTATGAATATTGTAAATTACTCTAACAATCACTGAGTTTTCCAACCTTTAGGTTAATGATCAAGCCAGAAAAGAAACTAGGAATGGATAAGAAGAATTGAAAAACAAAACGATTAAAAGAATATTTCTTAGATTGAAAATGGTCCAAACTTCCCAAAAATCTTTTTATTATTATTCAATGGAAAAGGCCGAAAAAGTTCGAAACCTTTCTAGTCCATGTGCCGTCCCAAACTTTTATGAATGCAAAACGCAATTTATCAGATCTTCGCTTGTAACGCATCATGTAGCGACGAATTTCATATAAAGATAGGAAATGTTCTGGTTCCTCAAGATTTATTAGCAAAAGAAAAACAGTATGTCCAGCCAACGATCATCGCAGTAGAAATCCAGTGAACATTGACCTGTTAGGAAGTATGTCAGAACCGCTCCCGTGGCCAGCTACACGTACCCAGATTTCATCCCCGACCTGTAGGTGTGCAGCAGAAGTTGCTGATGTTGCACTTTCGAATCCTGTGCCTTGTCCAGTTACAGCAGAACCAATGACGTAATTATTGCGTACTAACTCAGAATCAATATACTGGTGACCTTCTACGTTTGTTGACCAAGAAAAGACGTAAACTCCAGACTGTGTGCATGTAAATACGCCTGTGTTGGTACTGTAGTGGGCGCCTCCGGTGTTGGTGACGAGTCTATTGAAAATAACTGGATGTCTTGTAGATGGATTGGAGATTGTGTGTGTAAGAACGGCATGGAACACCACAATATCGTCAGACGGACCTGTGAACAAACGAACGTTTTGTTATAAAAACAAAACAAAATAAATAAAACTGAGGAGCAACATTTTGTCCTTACCTTGGCTAATTTTTTAGAAAATGCTCATTTTAATGTCGTTCGGACGTTCGAAAACTTGCCGTCATTTGGTCATTAAATTGACGTTTGTTCAACGGAAGACTATGGACAACAAATCTAAAATATGTATTGCTGTATCTGCAATGCTGTTGTCGATTTTTATAAAACTATCGGGTAAGACATATGGGAACAGGGTAAAGCATTATGTACTTATGTGGAATAGGGGCATTCTACCCAGGAGTGTATCCCACATACGAAAACATGTATACGATAGGACACTATTTCACCCGCTACCAGTATGATCTGACTGGGTACAATGTTGTGCTGGGTGCCTTCGGTATGATATTTCAGTGAGATAGCACTATAAAGTCGGCATCAGAACCTTGCTAGTACAAGGAGGCAAATACACCAATATACCTTACATCCTAAACACACATACGAAAGAACACATACACAAAAGAAATTGTGACACGTTCTTAAATGACTTTAACAGTTGGTAGGACGTTAAACAAAATAAAACATAAACCAAATCAAGCAAGATGCAAAAAGCGGAAATGAATGATCCATGGGTATACAATTACAAATTTGGTTAATTACCTTAGGACCTTTCCAATAGTATTTGATTGTAGCATATATTAGTCTGAAGAAGAAAATTGGAGACTTTTTTGCCAGTTTGACCCCTCTTCACCCCACCCCTCAGACCTAATCTGAAGTTTAAATATGTAGATCTAAATAATCCGTACGGATTGATTGCCTTTGCCAATGGAGCTTTCATGCAAAACCTTTATTGAAGTCGGGTTTCAAAGAGTCAAAAGTATTAAATATGTACGAATGCACCACGCAGAAGAAGACGGAGAAGGCGATATGCCCTTGTCTCATGTGTCCTGTTCGTACATTCATTAAATTCATTATAAAATGGCATGAATTAATATGCTGTGTGAAATTATTTGTGTTTGTCCCAACCTTTTTGCTGAAAATACCTACTGACTCGCGTAATCTTTCCGTGGTGTATGGATCGGATCCGACCTTGACCGCTCACTGATTCTGAGCTGGGTGTTTTAGGAAAGTGTGTCGACAAATCCCCGTTCGTTGGCTTCGCCTCACCACGTTCATGTGATGCTCGGGAAGGCAAGGTTACATGGCTTGTATTGAAATACGCAGTTTCGTTACCAGACGAAATTTGTGTCTCCTTTGAGATAACTTGCCCCGCCTCTTCACCGTTTTCACATTGCTGTTCAACCTTCCTTACTCGTTGAGTCAGCAAAGCTATCAGGTTTAAATCTTTGACGCGTAAACGCTGCAGTTCTGCAACTTCTTGGTTCAGTTCAGTCATCACGCGAGCGTAATTTTTGCGTGATTCTGCAAGATCCTGTACACGTATATTCAAGTCTTTCATATCATCGGAGCGCGATTGTTCAAACTCATCCATTCGTTTGGTCAACATAGCGAGCTGCTCAATTGGTGTATTTGCTTGCTCAGAGGACACCGTCGGTTGTTGGATCATGGAGGCAGCGGTAATCCTTTCACCCATGACTAATATCAAGATGTACAACATAAGCTTTAGTAGTTGTATACCCTCCATGTCTGTTGTCAAAGCATACACAAGCTATCAATTACTCTGACAAGATTCAGTATACCCGTGTACATATATAGTTTTATCTTGAATAGTCACGTGTAAGTAATAATACATTGTACATTGCACGCAGAGATGTTCAATAGACAAGGGTCGTACATGTTGATTTATGGTGTCTACTTGTCAACTTGATCAAACCAACTACTTGGAAATGAAAAAAATGAGAAACAAAAACAAACCTAGAATTTTACGGTGTGCATTCAAAATAAGCTGTCTTTCCTTTTTTGAGCATTGGGCTGGTACTAAGTAATATCGACCTGGATTTATCCGGTTTGTTTTGTTGTAAATTTGAATTAACTAAACATGTTCTAAAAAAAGTATGATTCATATACGGAATGTAGTATCTTAAAATTCACACTGGCTAACACTGAGCAAGATAAGATAACGATGCAACTGTGAAAAATCTTTGTTAGACTGATTCATTTTGTTTTAGTTCAATGTTTACACAAACATAGATAAAAGCACACATTTACGTCGAATTGATAATGTCGGTGAATCATAAAAGATAATTAAGTCGACATATCACGATAACTATATCGCTAAATCAAAATAACTAATGGACGGAATATATGACTTTATGTAATGTACAGAACAGCGAATGTTGAAATGTTGAGATAAATATTTCAATATATGCACTAAGCAGCGTATTATTATATGTATCATTGTTTATGGTAAAGTGTCATGTTTACACATGATATGTATCAGATCCCTTACGAACGACGGTTGACTAAAATTGTTACCTCACTTAATAATTTTGAATTGCCCCATGGAGAATCGGATTGTTTTTAGTGTCTTCTGCCAAGCATAGGAAGAGACAAAAATTGAACTACTTCCCCTATTGCAAAACTGTCTTAGTATGTGGCAACCGTCCTCATATGACCCTGGCTGTTTCGAGGCCGTTCAATCCAAACAAAACCAAAATCAAAATGGTAATCCCTGTCTTTTAAGAACTTAAACATCAGCTAGAACCCGTTAAATAAACACGAAAAGCAGCCATCAAGGGATGTTGAATCTATTTCCTTTCAGGGAAATATAATGTATTGCTACAATGACGCTCGTTTCTGCTTGCTTGTGATTATTCAAAACGACACAATGCGAAGCCCCGAAAACCGGGAGATCTTTTGCTTCCGTAACAATATTAGTTATATATGTTCTCATATCATAATGTGGATGGTACAATCCATCTAAACTAATTTTATAGTATACTTACATAACTGATTGCTAACAATTTTCAGTCATTTTTGTAATATAAGATAAGATAAAATAAAATTAAAACAAATTGAACTTTTCAAAGAATGTTAAAATCAGCAATCATCTAAATACAATGTATTCTCATATTAATATAACCAAAATAATTTTAGTCGTACCCCAAACATGTGCACCATAACAACGTTTGCTTAAATTTGAAATTCGCGTCAAATTATATTTAACATAAAACACAGCAAATGTTCTGTTTATGTCAGTGGTCATTAACAACAGATAACAGATGTAGGTCAAGTAAGCTACTATCGCAATCGAAAGCCATTGAACAGGAAGGAGTATACGTCAGATCAACACATGTGGCTATCCTAACGTACCCACACTTCATCCCCAACTACCAGGTGTGAAACGGTAGTCGCCTATTTTACAATGTCTTGCGTTGTGACCCTTCCTTAAGTTAGCTTAACCTATATCAGGTTTATCAATGTATTAATTTGCATGACACTTAGTAAACATTCCTCATACTCTTTATAATGAAATATTTAATTAACCAAGGATCCCTGCCGTTTTGGTAGTCACTGTACCACCAGGCCCGGCTACTTTCGCTGACAAAGTAGTACAGTCAGTAAGAGCGATGCTATAACAATTTGAAGTCCAGGGTTTGAACCTGGTCTATCCCCCTTATCTTGTCAGGCACAAAGGACTGTTGTTAGTTATACTATATTTAGATTGGGTAATTATTTACGGATGGAAATGGTCCTTCGTCGTCTTGAAAATTGCAATATTTTTCGTGCATTTTATATACATTTAACCTATGCTGTGTTGCATTCAGAAATAAAAACGGCATTGAACTTGCTTCTTCTTCATTATTTTTCATAAAGGTTACCCAGGGTATGAGTTTCTGTTCAGAGATGGTTTATTTACGCTCTAATCATATCGGCGAAATAGGTTTTTCAGCGCATAGTAATGCATTGGTACGAGGGGCCTTAACATTTCTTAATCAATACAATGGAATATATTTAACGATAACAACATAAGTGTATATATACTCCATTAATGATATAAGGTTAGCCAAACACGCACATCTTTGAATGGCCTTTGCTGTTTATAGGACATAACACTCTGTAAAACTAGCTAGCTAACTAACTATCTAGCTAACTAACTTATTCGCTAATTAACTAGCTGACTAGCTAACTAACTAGCTAACTAATTTACTAGCTAACTAACTATTTTATGATTAGTTAACTAACATTCAATTATATACTTACATAGGCAAGAGCGATAGTAATGGTAATAGTATATAACATGTATTTGTGTTAAGATAATCTTTTTCTGAAATATGTATGACAGAGATGACTGGCAGGCTGTCTTTGCTAATGTGATTACTACTTGTAAGTTTTTGTACAATTAGTGGTGACGTAGCAACTACTTTTATAACGTCACTGATATTGTCTGCAGGAAAGCCTGACATATGCCATGACCTTAAGAAAAGACGCCCCAGAAACAACACATATACTTCTTTTCTACCAAACCGTTGTCAGTTCTTGAACGTTACAATTCCAGATAAAACGATATATAAAAGTATACATCGAAACGTAAGTGCATTTCTTATCTTGTTTGTACATTGTTGATAGATATCGAGGTTTCAAATCAGAAGCGCAAACGTTCATATTAACGTTAGTTATAGGTTTAATGCTGACCGCTGCCTACATGATCCAAGAACCGACAGTACTATACACAATGGTATGCCTAATTATTATAGTATTTCACAGATAAATGGCTAAATGTTATACAATGTAATTTAAATACATATTGAAATATGTGTCATTATTACAGCATTCACTATTAAGCAAAATATGCATATTGACATATTTAGTTGTTTATGTTTCCTTACGGAGATAGGTATACTGATTTGTCGACTTAATCATTTTGAATAGTCGACTTATCAGGATAGTCCATAATACACACCCTTATCAGATTATTAAATTCCCTAAACGAAGTGGGGGACTCTATTTCTTTCGCCGTAAAAGATTCCAACACCTTTCTCAAAAAACTATTGGACGGAACTTAATGTTTACCTGCCACAAATGTTTATCATGTTCAGGGGATGTGAAAATGTCCTTTTTTCCGATCGGTGATCCAAGATGGCCGCCACAATCTCTGATTGGTCGAAATTTAGATATTATTCGATTTCGATGAAATTTAGTACATAGGGGTATAAGGGGACTGCAAATTAAATCACATATGTTTCGTTGCTATAGCAACCACACAGCAAAACCACACGGCTTCTGATTGGTCAAAATGAAATATTGCTCGATGCTACTCAAATTTAATATGAAGGTTTGTTTTGGCACTGCGAACATAACTGCAGGGTTTGGGGGACTTCCGTAATGGTCCGCCATTAAAATTAGTACTTGTTTGTTTTTAAATCAACAAGTACTGTTAACTTCTACATTCTAAAATTAAAGTGTTCTATGGACCTGGCCCTCTGTTGCAACAATGACTTAGACCATTTGGATTACACAATTTTGCCCCTAGAATCACCGATGTGACCTAGAAGGACGAAACTGCTGTTTGGTATAATATCATTCATTTTAGCACAATGACCTTAGCTGCTAAGACGTTACACAATAATAAAAAAAACAATCCATCATGTTTGGCATAATCAATATATGACCAAAATTTAAAATATGTGGGATTTACTAAATGTTAGTGTTAGTTCATTTTTTTATGTTTAACTTATCCATAAATTGTTAAAATGTGCTTTCTACTCGTAACATATCCCATTTAATTTAAAACAAGTAATCTCCTTAAACATAACAGCAGGCAATGAGGGAATTTCAAATTGATCCTATACTTACTTGTGATGAAATCCATCGGTCAATATTGTTAGCGAAACAAACTCACTGGTACTGGAATCACTATCAGACAGTACGATGGAGTTGGACGACATAATGGGTTCGCAGACATTGAAAATGTCCATACGTGAGTCCATAATCTAATGAAAACAAAATATCACAAGAAAAAAAACATCTTTTAAGCTTTTCGAAGTTGTTTTTATAATGACTTTTTACCAAAACCCATATTTCTGACAGAAATACGAGGAGCTCCAGAAAAAACATGGATCTTTTACGAAAACAGTTATCAGTTCAATTAATATAAAAACAAATTTTTTGTGAGAAAAAAAAAGTTTCTCAAAATATCCCGAATTTAATATCATATATGCCTTACCTTTGATGATCTTAATGCTATTGATTTCGTTTCCCCGTGAGTACATGCCATATGGCGCGTTACCTAGCAAAGGGCGGCCTAGAAACGCAAACACTCCTAGTTCATTTCAGATATATACTACCATGTTGTCAGTGCTTGTAATGACCTTTTCAGATAAAAAAAAAAAAAAAAAAGTATAAAGGTGTAAACTGAATCACTTCGTCGGAGTACTTACAAGTTTGTGTACTTTGACGTCAGATATGGAGGGAGCCATACCACTAGTGCAATTATTTTGCATATTGACATTGGTCATAGGTGAAATGCTGACCGCTGCCTACATGATCGAAGAGCCGACGGTTCACGCCGTTTCCACTGACCAAACCGACGTCCGTACTGATCAGCTCGTAATGTTGACAAAACGAATGGACGAGTTGGAACAATTGCGCGCCAAAGATGTGAACGAACTAAATTTACATGTACAGGAACTTTCAGAATTACACGAAAATGATGCGCGCGTATTCACCCAACTAAACCAAGAGGTTGAAGAGCAGAAACGTTTACGCATCAAAGATTTGAATCTGATAACAATGCTGACTGACAGAATAGGGCAGTTAGAGCGTCAATGTGGAAACGATGAACAAACCGAGAACGATCCCTCCAAGCAGACACAAGTTCCGCCTCGTGACGAGAGTCTGTATTACAACACAAGTGATGTGACCTTACCTTCTCCCGCTGCGCCAACACTCGACGATATGACGAAAAATGAGGAGGATTTGCCGACACACCTAGCTGACACATCGAGCTCTGGAGCCATAAGAGGTCGAGGTCGGATCCAATCCAAAAACCGCGGAAGGATTACTCGAGTCAGTAATTTTTTTATTTTTATGCAGCATTTCAAAAAAAAATTGGTTTTTGTTTTATTCTATGCAATATTTATTAATAATTACAATTACATGTACATGTTCATTTTTGCAAGGAAATTGGATGTTTATGAAAGCTCAACTGCCCATTGATAATGTTCAGAGTGAGTTTTCCTTCTCTATCGAAACGAAACGTATACGAGGATTTGCAAGTTGTGTTTGAATTAACAGACTGATACAATCTCCGTAAAAGCCGTAACGTTATCGAGCTCTAGCTACCATGTTTTGTTTGTTTGTTTGTTTGTTTCGTTCATTTTTTGCTAGGTCCCCTCTGACGACATTGTGGCGTTCCATGCTATCCTGACACACACAATCTACGATCCATCTATAAAACACGTGGTAGTTTTTGACCAAATCGTCACTAACAGCGGGGGAGTCCACTACAGTCCCAACACCGGCGTATTTACCTGCACACAGTCTGGAGTTCACGTCTTCTCTTGGGCGATAGCTGTACCGAGTAACCAGTATGTGTTTACTGATTTAGTAAGGAACAATGTCGTCGTCGGGTCTGGTCGAACTGGCCAAGCAGTGGACGATAGTGCGGCATCTGCTACTGCCGCTACATACCTAGAGGTCGGAGATGAGGTTTGGGTACATGTTACTGCCCACGGGAGCGGATCTGACATATATCGCATCAGGTCAATGTTCACTGGTTTTCGCCTGAATTGATTGTAAGCTGGACATACTTTTCTTTTTCTGAAAAAATGTTTGGGACCATGACATATATCTTGTTTTTTGTTAAATTCAAAGTTCCAATTTTCTTCTTACGAAATAAAGGAATTAAAAATCAAAGCATGCATGATGTATACTATTGCTTTTTTGCAAGACTAGGTGTATTTTGGAAATGTGTGATTGAGCGACATTTAGATTATTAATATTTAGGCGCAAATTCTATTTTTTTCCTGCATTGTGTAGTTTGGATTCTTAATTAATGAAGTTGATATTTCCCTCCCAAAATGTATAGTTATTAATTGACAGTTTTAATATGATAACAACCAATAGAATAGTTTACAATTAAAGGTTTCACTATGACGTCACAATTAATCATAGCATTGACACCAAAATCATCTTCAGATTTAACGCCGATTCTATTAAATAAGTACGCTTTAAAAATATTAAGTTTAATAGGCAATGCTATCTGAATCTACAGCTAGTTAATGACTGTTTAAACTGAACCATGGAGGGTCATCAAAAAACTAGATAATTAGTGCAATGAAATATTACAATATTATCTATACAGTTAACTATGCCTTAACACATCAGCATACACATAATCTAGATCTAAACATACTGTATACACTAAAATACGGTTAAAAATAATATTGTAATACTGAATGAAATATATAAAAAGAGCCTAATATACTTCATTCAGTAAAATTATGTCTAAACATTAAAACTTTCTCTTTTAAGTTTAATATGTCTAATCTTTGCAACTTTCTCTAAACAGTATTTTTTTCTAAGCATATCAACGTGTTGCACATAACGAAATATGAAAAGATTACAACAAAACATTTCAACGAATTATATACAGAAAGAAAAGGTTTTAACAGTTTTAGCAAAGCATTTCGTACAGCAAAATATGAATAAAACGTGTTCTGTAAAGTAAAATAATGTATATTTTTTTAAATATTGTGTAAAGTAAACTGATATCTAACATTAACAACGTATTCTGTCAAGTAAAGTAATGTTAAAAAATAACGACGTATTATGTAAAGTAAAAAAATATCTAAACATTAAAACGTATTCTGTAAAGTCAAATAATGTCTAAACATTAAAACGTTTTATGTACAGTAAAATAATGTCTAAACATTCTAACGTATAATGTGAAGTAAAATAATGTCTAAACATTCTAACGTATAATGTGAAGTAAAATAATGTCTAAACATTCTAACGTATAATTTGAAGTAAAATAATGTCTAAACATTCTAACGTATACATTTTAATGTGAAGTAAAATAATGTCTAAACATTCTAGCAATTATCTAAATACAATGTATTATCATATATAAATATAACCAAAATAGTTTTAGTCTTACCATAGAAATGTGCACCATAACCACGTTTGCTTAGATTTGAAATTCGCGTCGAACTTATATTTACATAATATATAACAGATAAAAGATGTAGGTCAAGCAAGCTACTTGGCAATCGAAAGCCATTGAGCAGGAAGGAGTATACGTCAGATCAACACATGTGGCTATCCCACACTTCATCCCCAACTACCAGGTGTGAAGCTGTAGTCGCCTTTGTTACAATGTCGTGCGTTGTGACCCTTCCTAAAGTTAGCTTTAGCTATATCAGGTTTATCGATGTAATAATTTGCATGACATTTAGTAAACATTCCTCATACTCTTTATAATGAAATATTTAATTAACCATGGATCCCTGCCGTTTGGATATCACTGTAGCAGCCAGGCCCGGCTACTTTCACTGACAAAGTAGTACAGTCGTTTAGAGCGATGGTATAGCAAAGTCTAGGGTTCAAATATGATCAAGCCCCCTTATCTTTTCATGCACAAAAGACTGTTGTTAGTAATACTATGTTTAGATTGGATAATTATTTACGGATTGAATTGTCCTCCGTTGTTTTGAATATTCTAATATTTTTCTTGCATTATATATACATTTAACCTATGCTGTGTTGCATTTAGAAATAAAAAAAACTATTGAAATTGCTTCAACTTCATTATTTTTCATAAAAGTTACACATGGTATGGGTTTCTGTTCCTAGAAGATTCATTTACGCTCTAGTCATATCGGCGAAATAGGTTTTTCAGCGCATAGTAAGGCAATGGAACAAAGGTCCTTAACATTTCTTAATCAATACAATGGAATATATTTAACGATAACAACATAAGTGTATATATACTCCATAAATGATATAAGATAAGCCAAACACGGAGGCACATCCTTAAATGACCTTTGCTGTTGATAGGACAATACACTCTGTAAAACTAGCTAGCTAACTAACTATCTATCTAACTAACTTACTAGCTAACTAACTAGCTAACTAACTTACTAGCTAACTAACTAACTTATTATTAGTTAACTAACATTCAATTATATACTTACATAGGTAAGAGCGATAGTAATAGTATATAACATGTATTTGTGTTAAGATAATCTTTTCTGAAATATGTATGACAGAGATGACTAGCAGGCTGTCTTTGCTAATGTGATTACTACTTGTATGTTTTTATTCAATTAGTGGTGACGTAGCAACTATTTGTATAACTTCACTGATATTATCTGCAGGAAAGCCTGACATATGTCATGACCTAAAGAAAAGACGCCCCAGAGACACATATACACTTCTTGTCTACCAAACCAAACCGTTGTCAGTGCTTGAACGTGACAATTCAAGATAAAATGATACTTAAAAGTATACATCGAAAAGTAAGCGCATTTCTTATCTTGTGTGTACTTTGCTGATATATATGGAGAGTTCTAACTCAGAAGCGCATATGTTGTTCATATTGCTGTTAGTTATAGGTGAAATGCTGACCACTGCCTACATGATCCAAGAGCCGACGATACTATACACAATGATATACATCTGTCTAATTTTTACAGTATTTCAGATAAATGGCTTAATGTTATACAATGAAATGTGTATACATCAAAACATGTGTAATTATTACAGCATTCACTGTTCACCGAAATACGCCTTATGACATTTTCCGTTGTTTTTGTTGACTTACGGAGATAGGTTTAATATTATGTTGACTTAATTATTCTGAATAATTGACTTATCATTATATTTTGTTGACATAATCATCTTAGATCAGTCGTTAGTAAGTCATGCCTGAATACGTGAGTCGATAATCTGATGCCGGGTCAAAAGAAAAAAAATATCTAAATCTGAATATAATGAACGTGTGAATCACTACACATGTAAATGATAAATACACCCGTTTTTATATCAAAACTAAGTTGGACTCCAGACCTAATTCCATATTCTTGATAAAAATACAAGAAGCTCGAGAAAAACATGGATGTTATATGTAAACAGTCACTAGTTCAATGTATATAAAAACAATATATTAATGAGAATATTTTCAGAAGGTTTCTCCAATTGTTTCGGATTTAATGTTATATGTTCCATACTTTTGATGATCTTATGACTACTCAAAGTATTGCATTCGGTTATCCGTGAGTTAATGACATATGGCGTGACATGGCGACAAGATGGCCTAGAAACGGAAACGCTCCATGCTTTTTTTTCAAATGTATACCAGCATAAAACAAAGATAAAACAAAACTATAAAGGTGTATACTGGAGCACTTCGTCGGAGTACTGAAAGGCTTGTGTGTACTTTGACGACAGATATGGAGGTTACGAAACCACTATTGCGAATATTTTGCATATTTACATTTGTCATAGGAGAAAGGCTGAACGCTGCCTACATGATCAAAGAACCGACGATTCACGCCGCTTCCCCTGACCAAACCGATGTCCGTATTGATCAGATCGAAATGTTGACAAAACGAATGACCGAGTTGGAACAATTGTGCGCCAAAAATGTGAATGAACTTAATTTACGTGTACAGGAACTTTCAGAATTACGCGTAAATGATGCACGCGTATTTACCGAACTGAACCATGAAATTGAAGAGCAAAAACGTTTACGCGTCAAAGATTTGAATATGATAACTATGCTGACTGACTACAAGTTAGTAACCTTACCTTCTCCCGCTGCGCCTACACTGAACGATACGATGACAAATGACGCGGATTTGTCGACACACCTTGCTGACACATCGAGCTCTGAAGCAAAATGAGGTCAAGGTCGGATCCAATCCAGAATATACGGAAGAATAACTCGAGTCAGTGGGTATTTATGCAGCATATCAAATAAACAAACATTTGTTTGTTCTTTTATTCTATGCAATAACAATTATTAATTACAGTTTCAATTAACTGTTCATATTTGCAAAGACATTGGATGCTTATGAAAGCTCTATTTATAATGCTAAGAATGTGTTTTCGTGTTCTATCAAAAAAGCACGTAAAGGAGGATTTTCCAATTGTGTTTGAATTGGCTGACCTAGTTAAACTCTCGTATTGAAATAAGCGGTAATATAATCATGTTCTTGTAACCCTTTTTGGTTTTATAACAGAATAATCATTTCTTGCCAGGTCCTCCGCCTGAGGACATTGTGGCGTTTCACGCGATTCTTGCACACACACTATTCGATCCATCTACAAACCACGTGGTAGTTTTTGACAAACTCGTAACAAACAGCGGGGGAGTCCACTACAGTCCGACCACAGATATACTTACCTGTACACAGTCTGGAATTCACGTCTTCTCTTGGGCGATAGCTGTACCGAGTAGACAGTATATTTATACTGCTTTAGTAAGGAACAATGCCGTCATCGGGTCTGCTGTATCTGGCCAAGATACAAATTACTACAATGCAGCATCAACGACTGCCGCTACTTACCTAGGGGTGGGAGATGAGGTCTGGGTAAGAGTAATTAGGCACAGGGGCGGAACTGACATATTGAGTACAATGTCAATGTTTACTGGTTTTCGCCTACATCGGTAGTTATCTGGCCATACGTCTTTTCTGTTTTTGATAAATCTTTGAGAACATAACATTCAACTTGGTTTTCTTTTGTTCAATACCAAGGTTTTCTTCTGGCAAAGTCCGGAATTAGTCATATGGTAACCTTTTTTTTTATTTCAAACTGATCCATAACATTACAATAATAAAAAATTACACACAAATCTCACAGATAAGTTATATTTCATAAAATTAACTATATAATAACATTTCTGTGATATTTTCTGAAAATTTTCCAATTGGATGTTAAGGTGCGTGCTGGCCAGATATGGCGCCTGCCGA